TATCACTCACTGGGCTTTTCTTTGTTGATTGCAGGCCATGTAAACACAAATCGCTTTGCATCTTCCGGATGTAATGGAGTAGTAAAAAAGGAGTCCTTTAAATTAACTATTAACAGCGGCCACTTTTGTGGCAGCATTACTGGTGAGGGTAGTCCTGGTTGTAAAGTTCCCATGGACTGTATTTGTTCATTGACTTTTTGTAAATCATGCATAAGTCTCCACTTTCCTGATTTCTTTGGTATAACAAAAATGGGCGTGTTCCATGGGCTGACTGATGGTTTGATATGCCTTGCATTAAGCTGTTCTTTAACTGACTCATGTGCTTTCTGCAGCCGTTCTTCTCTTAGTGGCCACTGCTCCACCCACACAGGATCATTACTTTTCCAAGTCAGCTGTAATGGGGCTGGCTGCCTTGCAGGGGCTGCTGTGAGAAAACTGAGTCTGGCGTAGTTAGTACCACTCTCCATTGGGTTAAACATTCATGACCAATGAGGGCAAACATACCTTCTGGAAAGGGTATTGTTGCTACTGGCGTGGGCCTTTTCTCCTTCAAGTACAAATATGAGGGGATTGGGTGTGACCGAGGCAGCTGCAGACACTCTTCTAACACCATCGATGGCAGTTTTTGTCTCTTGAAGTGGCCGGTATTGTGGCCAGACTTTGCTGGAAATAATGGTAATATCCACGCCCGTATCTAACAATGCTTGCAAATTTATTTGTTCTTTTCCATTTATAATGGTTGTCTTTTGAACTGGGCAGTCTTGCGTTCGTAGTGTTAAACACGCAACTGGTCCTGTTGATCCAAAGCTAGCATCTCCTCTCATGGGTTGCATAGGTTGTGATCCTTTCATCATTGCAGATACAAGATTTTGAAAGGGAATTATTTGTGAATATTTTACTGCCTTGAGGTATAAACAAAGGCGGTTGCAGTGTATAAGCAACAATTTGAATGTCTCCAGTATGGTCTGCGTCAATGACTATCGCCAAAATCCCTTTTAGGCTCACCAGTGAATGTCCTATCAACAATGCCCCATGTTTAGAAGAGTGAATTGGACTTTTGAAGGTTGTTGGTATCTTTTGCGGCTGGTTGTCGATAAGGGTAACCCCTACTGCTGTTTCCAGGTCGATTCCCAAGCTACCTGTGGTTGCGGGGCATAGTTCTGTGTCTGGGGGGCTGCTACTGTTGTCTGCGTGCGGCTGCCTTTCGCACTTTTCCGTCTGTTTCCCGAGCGCCGGCAAGCCCTGGTAGCGTGAGTATTGGATTGGCAGTTATCACACCAGACATTGCCCATACATTGCTTACGTAGATGCCCGGTTTTTCCACATCGAAAACAAGCACCCGTCGGTCGAGGACGACCCCCTTTCACAAGAGGTTTCAGAGCTGCAGCAAAAGCTTGGGTCTGGTTGATTATCACTTCCATCACTGTTTCATTTTGCTTTTTCACAGCACTTGCTACAGCTTCCTACAGAAACGCTGCTTGCTGTTGATATACTGAGTGGGCCATTCGTTCTAACATGGTTCCCAAATCAGCTGTGCACGGAAGAGTAGCTAATACCATTTTGGCTTTAGGATTTGCGTTTTCGAATGCAAAAGTCCTTGTTAATTGCTCTCGTACTTCAGCAGTTAAGTCTGTTGCTTGATTGAGTGAGGTGACCAACCTGTTGACAAAAGAGTCAAAAGACTCGTTTATTCCTTGTTTGATAGTGGTATAAATTGGTGCTTTCTTACCAGCTGGAATCCTCCAGAGGGCTTGCTTTGCCTCTTCAGCGGATGCATTATACAAGTCTGCTGGAAATTGCAACTGCTATGCTGCTGATGCATAGATGCCTTTTCCCATCAGCCTATCGATGGTGGTGCCATGAAGAGGATCAGTCAGCTGATGTGGCAAGACTTTCTTGCAGCCTGATTCCCATTCTCGCTCCCATAACACATATTATGAAGGAGTGAGTAATAGTTTTGCTGTGGCCATGCAATGGTCAGGTGACAGAACATTCGATGCAAAAATATAGTTGATCATTTGCTTGGGGGGCTCCGAATTGAGTCCATGCTGGGTAACTGTAGCTGGCAATTGTTGCATTAATTTCCACTCAAAGTATGAATAGCGCGCTCCTGGCTGGCCATTAGCAAGAGCCACTTGCTGCACTGGATAAGCATGTGGGGAACAGGCAGCTGCAGCTTCCCATTGCCTTTCTATAATAGCATCCCTGATTACTCCAGACCAGTGACTATGAGGTTCAACTGGTCCTATCTTCATTCCCTCTGAGGTGGTAATTACCGTATCACCTACTGGCTGCCCTTCACGGGTATTCAGACTGCCCATTTTCTTTGTTATCTTTTCCAATAGTTTATCTGATGGCTTTATTTTTTTTGAAACTGTGACTTTGACTTCGGAGGGTATTTCGTCACCTTCATCAGCTTTACTTTCTTCATCTGAGTCCTTTGTATGGTACCGGGAAGATGTACAGGCCTCGCCCCCTGTCCCTGTGTCGTGCTGTTCACTCACAGGAGATAAGGGGGGCGCGCTTGGTATTACCGAGGTTGATTCTGTTACCTGATTGGCAATTTCTTTTGCACTAGCCTTAATAGACACTTCAATGTCTTTTGCAGGACTAGGATCAGTAAATAAGCGAGAGCTTGATTTTGCTGGCACTTCTGTGTCTTCCCCTCCCAGCATTTTTTGTGCCGCTAGTGCCATATGCTTTTCAGCTTGATACTGATCTAGGGTGTGAATGACTTCCCTCCAAGTGGAAGCAAATTCTTTAGCAGTTTTACTGCCATCAATAGTAGCATCCCGTAGGGCATCTCCAATCTTACGCCACTCAGTATGGCTGAAGATTTCTGTGGGATCTTGCATGAATCCCTTTTCTTTTGCCCACTTACACAACTCTTGGAGCTTTTTTGTGCTTACACTGACCTCTTGCTTAGTGAGAAATTCTGCCAGCAGTGATAATGCTGCTTCTCTATCCATTTCCTGAGATAGCGGTCTTACCGGCACTTTGGAGGACAGCCGTCAGTTCCTCTTTATCTCTCTCAGGCTCTTTGTGCCGAATCGCCTTCTCTCCTTATTCCGGAATCCATTGGATTCTCACTGCATTTCTGCAATACTGAGCCTCTTGATAAGGTCCTCAGGCAGCATGCAGGCTTTTTGAGGTCCCTGTTTGGGTGCCAATTGAAGGAGAAGGGTTCGGGAATCAAGAGACGACTCAGTATGAGTTAGCTGCTTGTTCCACTTTATTGCAGTTTCAGCAACAGTTTTATAGCATTAGTAAGGTAACACGCGACACTTGTTCTGTAATGATTGGATAGTTGCTGTTGTTCATGTGCTAATTTCTACTTTATTATTGGTCTAGCTCATAACACACAAGCCTCAGAAGATACATTTTGTGTTTAGCTACATGGTGAATTCTCATCCTGTTTATTGCCACATTAGCACTTAGTTCCTTCTTATCTTTGTTTGAATGTTGTGCCAAGGACTCATGCTAACTCAAAAGTCAGGCTTGTGCAGGCCTTCCAAGGAGCCGTGGCCTCAAGAAGCAAGCCACACACACATTCCCCTACAAGGTAAGACCTAGAGGAGTCATGTGGTGGACATGCTGTTCTTCCGGTTACACAGATTGGGGGTTAAATCCAGGAGGAGATTTGGCATTGCTAAGGAACAGGCAGTCCTCCTCTACACTACAGACAGTTTGGTGTACAGTCCTTTGCCCCACACTGCTGTATAGATCCTGATGCACGGGCATCTTGGGCACAGTGGGAAACCCCTGTTGGGCTTCTGTAGCAGAGGCTGGTGCCTGGGGCTGTGGGATGCCTGGGGTCCAGTCCCAGTTACAGGAGCACTGCTGCCAGTGCTAGGGCATCCCCCTCCCAGGGCACCTGTGTGGGATTAGAGACTGACTCCTAGACCTGTCAAGTCCTGCCTAATACTGAGCAAGGATTTGAGTCTTGTGTCTAAATCCAGACCTTAGATTTCAAGTGCCAGTTGATACTGCAGTCAGTTGTTCTCCAGTTCTTGAATGAAGTTTTTGAGCCTGATCAAGTCCCACTCAATTTCTCTACAAATAATAAAACCTTGGGTTTATTACTAAACCTTTAATAAACCTTTGGTTTGCTAACACTACCGTCTCCCCCTTTTTGGAAATCAGCAGGAATATAGACTGCAGTGAGGGGCCAGTGGAATATGCAGACTGTTTATGAGTGAAATGGTTGGCAAGAGACAGTGCTTCCAGAACAGACTGTGTTTCTTCTGTCACAGGGTCAGGACTGACCCACAAGGCTGGCACTCTGCTGAATCATCTTTGCAACTGATGCAACTTACGCAGAACAACTTCAAGCATTAACCTTTTTCTCTCATATCTCCATTGTATTTTTTTTTTCAGTCAGCTACATTTGCATGTAATCAGTCAGGATTTTGATTCTCCAGCTCTGAAAACCAAAAAGCACTGGAATTCTTTTACTACAGACTACTTCTTAAACTCTCAAGGTAATGATTAGAAAAAGTATTTCATAACATATAATCCTGCTTGCAGGTTCTGGCTTTGGATTTTTCTTCCAAACAAATGTACAAGTTACACATTTTATTGCAGTAAGGGAAAAGTTTGATTTAATTTAAGACATTGAGGAGTAGGACTGAGTAAAAGTCAACAAATTTTGTGGCTGGTTTAAAATAGAATGCAGCAATGACACACTGTGCATGCAGAAGAGTGCAGAAAGATTTGTAGTGTCATGTGTTTCATGATGCTGCATGGTATCAATACTCTGGTCTCTTTATTTTTATCCCCAGATGTGATAGAGATGGTAAGAAGCAAGGGAAAAGTGATGGTGAAAGACCATACCTCTGAACTTCTCAAACTTCCCCTCAGATGCCATCGCTGTAAACAACAGCTGTCCACAATCCCACAGTTAAAGGAACATCTTAGGAAACATTGGCCAAAATGATTTTGCAAAAAATCATCTTCCAGTCTGTCTTCAGATTTCAAGCCAACACAAAGACTACAAAATGTTAATGGAAATGTGTGTTTATTAACTGGAATTGCAAATACAATGTGTGGAAAAGTAGCCTGGAAACAGCAGCACGCTAATTTAGTAATAGCTTCAACAAAAAAAACAAGCCCTCTTCTTATTCCCTACTAAAAATATAAATAAAGTGATTTCTGAAATTGAAGCTTTTTGGTTGCAGCTTTATTGTGGTACGGCTACACTAATCTGTCAGTGAGTTGAAGTCTGGGAAAAGTGCTTTGTTTGGATGAAAAGATTTATTTTAATTCAGGAGCTGAACTGAGCCCAGATCTTGGTTTCCACTGAGAAAGAAACAATTATTTAGAGGTCTTTATCTTGATGTTTTCTCCCTTTCACTGAAGTTCCTCCTGTGTGTTAATGTTGCAAGCACTGGTGTGGCTGCCAGAATGTACTGCCAGTGGAGGGGAAGGAGCAGCAGCTGATCGTCCCCACTTTGCTGTGCCACTGAAAGGCCTGACAGCTCAGTGCTGCTGAACTGTCCCTCAGCTATGGAGTGGGCTTTGCCCCTCACCAGGGTGCCAGGACAGTCACTGCTCAGGCTCTGAGTGCTCCAAACAATCTCTTTTGGGTACAAGGATGTATTTAAACATTTTATATGAAATGTAATACACAATGACCAGCTTTACTGCTCCCCAGAGTAATAAAGCTATCAAGATTTGTAGCTACTTGTCTTCATATGTTGAGGCTGGTACAGAAATCCTGTGGTTTAATCCCGCTGTTTCTCTAACCAGGATTTTAGCGAGCCTCTTATCATTTGATTGTTGTGAAGATGTGAACTTGCAGAAGCAGCAGAACAGTACTAATAAAAATCTCCTGACTCCCGATCTGGTTTGTACAGTTCAAATTCGTCCTAAGCCCAGTTCTGACTTAAGAAAGATGCTCTGTGTGAAATGGCTTTCAATGAGAGTGCACAGAGCTTTTGCTATACATGCAAAATGCTGCTCCTAACAGTAACACTTTCTGTGGGGAGACAGTGTCTTCTTCTTCCATTCCCCCATGCCAGCAGCATGTTGCTGTTCCCACTCAGATGGGGCAAATAGTAAGTTGCTGTTGCTGGAAAAGAATAAAGATGTTTCTGTTGTAAAGTAGTCCCCAAAAATGTGTTCTTTCAATCTGGTATGCAAGAAGCCAATCCTCACAGAGGGTCATGTTTATTTCATGCTTGTGCGTAGATGGGTGCTGGATGGTGAATCCACAGAGACAGCACACCCAGTTCTAGCCAAGCAGTGTAGCTGAGATATTTTCAAAATACCTAAGTCTGCACTTACCTGATGTCTAAATACCTGCCTACTCAATAGCTATTGGACAATCTTTTGCCTGGTTCAATTTAAAGGTACAATGCATTTCAAATTAATTGCGCCTGTTTAGAGATGTGGTTTTCACATTATAATGAACTAAGTTCATCTAAAGGATGCTTTTTTAGGTGATTTAATTAATTTCAGTAAAACATTTGGAACATTGCCAAATGCAGTGTTCAGTATCTTATTCAAGATTTCTGTCTGTTTCCTCTACTTGTTTCAAAACTATTCTGCAAGACCTTGCCATTTCCCACCTTTCTGGGTCTTTTAAGTATTTATCACTCTCCTATGACTCACTGTGCAAAATCTTTTCTTAAATCATTCATCTTTCACCAGAACAGGGTACAGTAAGGTGAAGGGTTGGCCATTACCTAATTTAAAACACCAGTCACAATTCAACTTTTGCTGACATCAATAATAATATTCCTCAAATTACAAAATAAAGCTTAAGAGAGTAAGGAACAATAAGAAAAGCACAGCCAGTCTGAATTCATTCTTGACACAAACTAGGGCTTCAGCTGGCTCCAGAGGTAAAGTGCTAATGCTTTGCAACAGGAACTAATTTGGACCAAAGCCAGTTGTGAATGCTGGAGGGCTGTGGTCTTCCTAATGGCAGACATAGGCCAGAGAGGAAAGCCATGCTTCTTTACAGTGAAATGCAGTGCTCATGGCCCATCACATCAGGGTGGGAGTTTTGGTTTTAGTGCCTCTCAGGGCAGGTCAGAGTGAAGCATAAACACCTGCAATCCATCTGTATGGGAACGGTGCAGCTGAGGCACAGTTGCCATACACTGAAATGTGGAGCACAATTGAGAAGGACAAGCCTGTGTATGATGTAAATCAGTGGCATCACTGGGAGAACCACTGCCACCAGGGCTAACCCCAGGGGGAGGGATGGCTGCAGGTCCAGCACTCGCTGTGAGGTCACCACTGTATGGGAAAGGTCTGCAGGAAGGCAGCAGAGTGTACAAGCTCTCTGAAGCCAACAAGGGGCAGCCAGGGGCAGCTGCCTATAGGGGTAGCCTCAAGGCCATGAAGGAAACCAAGGCAGGAAATGTAGACATTGTCACAAGTTACTTCATGTGTGCCTTTGCAGGGGACCCACAGCCTTCCTCCAATCTTTCATCTACACCTGGTAAGTCCATACAGGAGACTGTGAGCAACCAATACGACATCTTTGTTGGAAGAAAGCCTAAAAACAGCAGCATAATTTTAATCCTCATCAGCCAGTGATGGTAAAGCATCTTCTTTCCACCCCTGGCTGTAATTAGATCTCTTCTGGAGCTGTATTCTGCAATATTGTTATAGGAACGAGGCCTAAAGCCAAGAAAAACGTGGTAAAGGACCTTCCATGAGATGTGCCATGAGAAATGTGGTGAGAGGATTAACATGGGCTGATGGTAGGTGATGGAATGACAGGTTACCAGGTGGAGGGCCAGATGGCCCTTGCCTCTGCAGCCATCCAGGTGGAAAAGAGAGTGGTGCAAGTGTTGTGTTCCATCCTTTGTCCTCTCCTTGCATTTCTCAATACTCATTGACACAGAAAGTGGTTCTCTCCCCCTCCTCTCCATTTACAACTGCAGTTACAGAATATTTGACTGTAATCTCATCTCTGCTTCTCCCAAAAAGAATACATTTATTCTTGGAAAGCCTTCAAGGCAGAGGATGAGAACATGACCACCTTGCAGACAAGTCCAGGGTCTTGCTGATCTCTTCCCCAGAGCAGGGATGCCTCTTTGGAAAGATCTGTGACTCTGACTCCATTGGAGTATACCCAGGAACACTTGTACACAGCACTATACAATTGTATATTGCAGGTGCGTTTATCACCGGCTATCTAAGAACCTATAATCTATTGTTCCAACGAACCACAGTTTGTGTTACTGTTCATGAAAGTTCCTAGTGAACTTGATGGGATTTCTTTTGTGTTTAATGAAGCTAATCAGCAGAGAGGTGAGAAATACCCAATAAGGGAAACAGGCTTCCATACAGCCACATTTGCTCAGAGGCTGAGATATCTTTAAAGTTAACTCCATATTTCTGCATTAATGGCTTACTTCCATTGCTGGTTATTGTAGGAGCCTCCAAAGAATTCAAAAGAGCAAATTCAATGTGTCTGTAATGCCAGTAACTGAAGCTGAGTATATTTCAAGATTACATGCATCACTAAGAAAGCAAAAGAATATGCCAGCAGAAATCAAGGGAAAGCTGACTCCTAGCTGCTGCTAAGAAACTAAGGTTCAGCAACTGCAGAAGTAGTAAGCAGGGCATCCACCCTCAAGACTCACTCACACTGGGTGCTGCTCCCAGCTCTACTGCTCCTTACTCCAAGAACACTAGGGAAGGAAAGGTGTAGGGGAAGACAGTAAGAATTCAGTGATGAGTGATTTAGAAGACTGGTCTTTCACTTGGATGGCAGATTTAAAGGGGTTTTGCTGTGATGGGAGAAGAAAACACACCTAACACAAAAGAGTCTTTGGCTTTCACCATCACCATGATGGAAAAGCAAAAGAAATCATACATGTACTTTGGCACAAGCATGAATGCTCAGTAAGCCAGTGGCAATTTTACCTTTTCTTGTGTTCTCTTTCTAGACAACAGATTAGGTTGTGCAAGACCTCAGCGTTTCCTGGCATCAGATTTAGCAATGTCAGGAATTACTGGTGTGTCACATTTCAGTTGCAGGGCCAGAGTGCTCTGCAAAGGAGCACAGACTCCCTCATCAACCCTTTCTCCAGATCTAGTAGACAGCTTCTGTATTGCACCATAGACTTTGCTCTGCTACCATTTTGAAAACCAGATCTTTTGAAACAGTCTTGCCCTGGAAAGCCTTTCATGTGTTTTGCCATCTCAAAACGCTTTATTTACTCTTGGAGAATCTCTTTCAAGTGTAGTCACAGTATTTGACAAGTTTAAGTTGTCCCCACACAACCCAGAACAGGCCATGCAACTCTGAACAAGTGGAAACAAGATGTGCTCCAATGCTTCAGACTGACAAAAGGCTTTTACCACTCCCCTCCAGCAAGCCCAAGACAGCACAACATGGTGCAAGACCAAATGGCCACCCCAATTCAATGGAGTTCTTGCCACACAAGAGCAGTGACCTGCAGCACTGGACATGGTCATGCTGTACAGTCAGAACACAGCTTGCTGCTGTGCTATTAAACACCCCCAACATACAGTAAAGCACCTTGTTTGTGCAGTGTTTTTCTGCAGCACCCAGCAGAAATGGCCTGAACACTGCAGCAACCAGGCCGAAATTAACCAGGAAGGGGATGCTACCAATGGAAAGGTTTTCAGCCTTGTCTCCTTCCTCTGCTCCCAGAACTGCTGCTATTATTTCTCGCACCAGATCACAGACGTATTCTGGGGTAAAACCTAATTCTCAGCACAAGACCAGTTTCCAGATGACATAGTTCTGCAATAGTGCACAGCATTATCAGGGAACACCTGCTGATCTGTCAGTGTCATAAAGCAGCGTTAGACTATCTTTGATCTCAGATAATTAGGGTGGTATTACCCAGCAGAGCGTGACACTGCCACTGCCCTGCTTTTATTCATGTTTTCCTCTGTCCAAGCCCTCCCTGGTGTGAATGGGCCCAGTTTCAATACAGCAATGGCTGTTGGCACTGCAGGATTCACTCTGATGTAACAAAGCAATGATGAAAATCTGGTATCAGCAACACCCAGCTTCAGCAGAGAAAACACAAAATTTGTTCAGCAACTACAGCCATTTGCTATTGCTACAGTCTTACAGGCGAGCTTTCTAAAGCAGGCTGAAGTGCTTAAAATGTGCCCTGTCATCATGGCAGGTATCAACTCTGTGAGGAAGGGATGGCAGGGAAGATAACCCATCCAATACTGGTGGGATTGCTTCATCCAGAAGGGGGAATAGTGGTAGGAGCTTTCAGAGCTGCGTATCCTCTTGCTCCCCAGCCTCACAAGCCACCTCTGCAGTGGATGTGAGTGGCTGTGCCCATAAGCGCGACACCAAACGGGTCCCAGTCACAGCTGCACCAGGCAGAGGGACCCTTCACTCGCACAGCCCTAAGAACAGTGTATCAGAAACACCAGAACAGCAACAGCTTCTGCAAAGATATCATGAAATTATGTGAAAAGTCAAGAGTTCAGAGTCCAGAGGAATTCCTTGGCTTCTGGTTACTGGAGAAGATGCAGCTTCCACTGTAGATTTTTACTGAATTTTGGTGGAGTCAGTACTTCTGGATCTGAAAGGCAAATGGAACAAGCGTCAGAACAGGGGGTAACAGCAATATAGTTTCTTCAAGAGCTGTCAACTACTTTGTTCACTTTTCTTAAATCAAAGGATGCTGAGAAATCTCTTGATATCTAATGGAAATCCGCTCAGAATATTCATGGAGTCCTCATGGAGGTAAAAGTGAACTTCACTTTATTTCTATCTTTAGCACACTCTCATAGGGTCCTACAGGGTTTGTGCGGCTTAACAAGCTACTGTTGGCTAATACATTTTGTTTATCATTTCTTGTACACATCATCATTGTTTTTCCTCATTCTTGCTGCTGCAGGAAAGTCCCAAGGACACTGTCTTTGGAAATGTTGTCTGGGTTGAAAGCTGGGTTGTGCAGACAGGCTTTGACTAAAGTATCATGCCCTTGCTCTGTTAAAATGTTCTCCTACAGATATCTACCATTTCCCTATGATGACTGATCACCAGGCTGCACAGGAGAGTGTCCTCAGAAAACCTGCTTTCACCAGGAAACCTCTGGGCACACCAAGTCCCTGTTCAATCATTAAGTGTTACATTCAGAACAAGGAGGTACAGGCACAAAGCCACAACCATTAGTGGCACTAAGCAGAACTCCAGTCATTCACGTGTCACTGGCCCATCATGCACCACAGTGAGCTGGCTCTTTTTGTTAGACAGGTTGCATCTATAGATTCAACAGAGGATTTCCCCATGCAATTTCAGGACTAGCAGGGAAAGAGGATGTAGGACTAGCGGGAAAACAGAAGACTGGGGAGTTGGGACCACCCTTTGCTAGGTTTCTCAGCCCTAATTTTGTATTAACTTCAAGGACTTTAAGGTGGCAAAGTGATATGACAGATTGTAGCCTGGTCTGGTGAAGAGCCAGGCCTGACTGCCAAAGCCAGAGAGAAAAATTCATCACGTAAGTTACAAGAAGAATTATTTAACACATTCCTTAGGAAATAATATTTTCAATTCCCTCACAACAGACTGACATTACACACACAGGAACCCAGCAGCAGTTGAGATACTTTAGCACAGAAGACAGTTTTAAACTGAGACAGTTTTAGCACACAAATTCAGAGCAAAATCAACTTTGTTAAGAAAGCTGCTCACTTGCCACAAGCCAGGGTGGTACACCATAAGGAAAAGCAAGGAACCACCACAGCTGAGAAACTGGTACAACTCATGGTAGGTAACAGTGCTTGGAGAAACTCCAAGCCCACTAACCTCCCTGACATTTCACTTAACTCAGAGCCTCAACTAACCTTGTACAACTGGAGGCACCATCCTCTTCTGCTGATAGGCAGCCATAATGCTGTTTGCAGTTGAATTGGGTCCCAAGACCTGTAAAAAGAAATAGCCATGTTTCAACCTGAACAAAGCAAAGCACAAGCAGAGATACTCTCAAAGGAAACTCTGCTATTATTGTCCAAAACCAGGAGACCTCATAGTACAAAGTGAACAGGATCAAAGAGTGATCAGTGTGATCAAAGCCCAGTAATGTCTCAGAAAAGTTAACATAGGCAGCAAGACAGAACTGTTTTCACACAGCTTTTTGGGACACAGAATTCTTATCCAGCTTCTTCACAGCACCATAATTGTCATGATCCAGCAGGACTGATTTCATTACAGCACCATCAATATTTAAAGTTCATTTGGGAGTCTCTGTTCCCTGTCAAACAGAACAATTTTAATCTGTCTTTAAAAGTCCTGCTAATCAGCAGATAGGGAGAAGATATTGGGGAGCACCTTGTGTTCACCATAAATGCTCAGAAACCACTTACTAAAGACTTTTTTACTCTGGAAGTAAAAAAGCCGGAACTAACTAAAGCCCTTACGATTTCCTTATTTTGCATCAAGCTGAAGCTTAGAAGTCTGAAATAACCCTTCCTTTTGTAATTTACTCCTTATGATATATGGTTCACACTAAATTGACTAATCCAGTCGCTTTTCACTTCACAAGACCAGGATGGACAACAACTGCTCTAGTACACTTCTACCATTAGGTCTAGAAAAGAAGGGAGTGTTTCCATATTCTACAAATTGCTTAAGATGGAGCTTACAAAAACAAGTCACCACTAGGACAAGACAAGCCTCAGAAGACCTCATCACATCCAATGTGGCATTCAGTGCAGGGAACACAGTAGGTTATACATATTGTATCCATCTAGAGTGTACTGACTTGGCAGGTCCTGTCCAGAATATCTACTAAACCTCTAACAGAAAAAAGCCCCAGATTTTGAAAGCCATGGAAGGATTCCAGGCTGTCTGCTGGAGAATGCAAAGTACAGCTAAACACTTGATACTGTCTAGTGAGTGTGACAGGTATTGTGGATGAGCACAGACCAGGCTGACAGAGCTCTGTTGCAGGTCTGAAGTCCAGATTTCTGAGACTGAGGTCTCCATCAACTGCAAAACCTCTTCCAGGACTTTCTGCAGTGCCCCAGCTTGCTCATCATAACCAAAGAGCACAAGCTGCTTCAGAAGGATGTGTATCTCTCCTGCAGGTGGGAAAAGAAGCAATAAATAGCAATCAAGACAGATATAATAAATCAACAGCTGCATTTCTTTGCTATCAGGAAGGAAAGCAGCAATTCAGAAGTGGTTCTGTTCCTACTGAGCCCTTACAGTGTCTGAGAACAAAAACAAGATAAATCTGTAGTGGCACTGAGAAGGCTTCTTTTTTCTGTTCCCAACTTCAGATGCAGAGAGATCATGTTATTTTGAGCACAGAGGCAGGCTGACTAAACCAAGGTCCAACACAGATGACTGTGTGGAACAGGCAGCTTTTCTCCCCAGCATATACAGTAAGAACAAGAGTGGGCACACCACCTTAGCTGTCCTCATCTTCAGAAGCTGCAGCATGGATTAAGATCACCAATTGTCCTACCTTTCACAGTCTCAACAGCACGAACACTCTCTCCCAGGACTTCCAGAAGGGCAATATCCTCAAAAGGACTCCCCTCCTTCAGGCTGTATCTCTTACGCTCCGCCTTGCGTCGGTTCTTTGAGGATCGCCTGAAAAGAGCATGTTCAGTTACAGTGTGCACAACAGGATTAGCTGTTAGCAGGGTTAAGTCTGAAGGAACATCAGCAGTGTACATGAAACTTGTCACTCAAATCTTTGCTTCCTCCAGCTGATGGAGGACTGCATGTAACCTTAGGTGAGTGACAATGTTTTCAGTGCTACTCAACCGATGTCCTTAGTGGTCTGGAACACAAAACAGGAGTCAGGCCGTTTCTCTCCTCCAAAAAGGACTGCTCCATGTTCCAGCAAGGTTAAAGCATGTCTACAACACAAAGCAGGAGCTGATCCAAGCACAAAGCAGTAGTCATTATCAGGCAAAGCTGAGATCCACTTAAAACACTGCTGGCCAAGGTCTGTGCTTGGCTGTGAACATTTTAATTTCTGCCATTTCCAGAGCCTGCTCAACTCCTACCCATGATCACAAGAAAGCAACTTCATTAATAGACCAGGCCTAGTTGCATAATGTTCCCAAGTGATCTTCACACTCTGACACTGAATACTAAGGCTGCACTCTCCTTCTGTTTACATCTGGTCCACAAAAAAAAAAAAGTGTCTAAAAAGTCCACATTTTTTCCACAACTGTATTTTTCCACAATTCAACCAGGGAATTCAGAAGTGGTCCCACAGATTACACCAGCCTGTTACACCCCACCCCACACTGCAGCTCATGTTCTTGAGAGCCCTCAAAAACAATGCACACAACCACTTTGGGAAGACATTGGTATGAGATTTAGTAGCAACTCCCACACACCAAGTGTGAAACCTGGGCCAAAGAACACAAGATATGGGCACAAGCTGTTAATGTTTGAGAGGCTCTGCCTGTACTCTGTGTCTAGCTTTCTACAACCAGCTATTCTGGCCATATGCCCAACACCCATGGAACCAGAACCTGCCCAGAGTTTCAGCTCCTCTGCCAGGCACCCAGTTCCTGTTGCACTAGTAGCTTCTGGCTTTTTCTGCTCTTTCCCTTCTAATGAGAGTTAAAATAACCATGAAATGCCTGTAATTAAAGCAGCACCAAGGCACACACAGCTGCAAGGAGGAGCATGTCAAGTATGAGCAAGCTGACCACCTGAATGCTGATGCCAAAACAGTCACTCCCTGATTTGAAGGCAGATACCTACGCTGATATTCTTGAATTGCTGTGTGAGTATTTGCTGTTCATGTCACTGGCTGTCACAACACTGCTGGTTTCAGAGAAAAGCTCCAATTCTGGGCAATTTGGCACTTCATAATCTGCAAAACATGGTAACAACTGTCACAGTATGGAAAAAGGTCAGAATTATTTCAAGCTTTCTGATTGATCTGTGTAGCTTGCTGGGCAGATTCATTCTACCTGCTGGTGTTCTGGAAACTTATAGCTCCCAACTCCCCTGAGCCACCACACACAAGAAGAAACAATAATTATGAGAACAGCACCACTCCTCCGCCCTGGTGGGGATCATGATATTGAACAGCACAATCAGAGGGATGACAATCTCAGTGCAGCAGGTCTGGACTAGGACAAAGCAGTCTGTTTTCAGAGGAATTCCTTGAGCCTGTGTAAGCTGGCAGGTGAATATGTTTATAGGTACTTGGCACGAAGGACATTCTGAGCACTGTCTCACACAGCCAAGATGGTAGTATGGAGACAATGCTCTGTCATTTTGAAGAGCTTACAGGTGCATTTTCATTGCATGAATGCTGTGACCCAAGGAAGAGCTGAAAATACAGAGTAACTACACTCATGGAGTGAGGAGGGGTTGAGAAAGGTGCTATTTTACTGCTGTAGATCCCATTGAAGCTAAAGGAGAGCACAGCTTCATCAGAGCAAACAGAAACCACAGAAAACATGATCACAGTTATTTATGCAGGAGAAAGTCATATGCACTTCAATACTAACCCTGCAGGTTCTCACAGGCCTTCCCCTTCAGCTCTCGCACCACTTGTAGGCGACTCTTATGGCGGAGAAATGCTGTTTTCTGGGAATCTAGGAAGATCAGCTGACTCCTCTGAGCTGATCATCAAGAAAATCAAAACAGAAACATTTGTGCAAGAGAAACACAAAAGCATTTTTTACACAAGCACAGTCCTTCAACAGGCCCAGAAAGAAAAAATCCCTCAGCTCATAAAGCATGAAAAGAAAGAACAAGGAATAGTAATAAAACATTATTTGTGGAAGGGAGAATAAAGCTATCAAATATTTTTTTTATTTACAAAAGCTACTTATCATAGCTTACAGGACAGGTAGACATTTTCCTGGTCCATAGCTCTGCTGCCACATGTGCTCTGGAACAAGGACTGTCTTGCTTCATCATGGACGTGCAGACACAGACACTTTTGCAGCTTTTGACTGTGAGGTCTGGAAAAGCTCCAAAGGAGCCTGACTAAGCTGAAAAGATCCCATGACACTGCAGGGCTTCAAGATGCACTGAGGACAGCCAAGTGCAGCTAACTGAGCAGCATCAATTAGGTGGAAGCAAAGTATCCTGCCATACGCCTTCCAGTACTGGAATGGTGATATATACATAGTGCTGTGACTTCCCACAGACCCATCAAAGAAATTCTTTAGCCTCTATAGCACAGAGAAATCTTAGATTCTTGTACAGACTCACCTTCCAAAATAGCAGGTTTTAAGTTGGTCTCTAAGATATCCAGTCTACTATACTTGTGAATCTGGATCAGGGAAAGAAGAGAATTTTTATTTAAGGATCTTACCCAGATCACATCCCTCTGTTTTTGCACTCTTAAGGTGTATTTCCACTTCTGTTCTTGTGGTCTGAAATGTCTTACCAGCCTCAAAGCCTCTTCCCAAAGAGCCCCTTCTAAGAGCAGGAGAACAGCCTCCTCATAGTCCTAGAAAAAAAGAGCGACCACGGGTTGCTGTTGATGTTAGTAATACATGTTCAGGTAGGAGCTACTCAGATGGGTATTTCTATGCAGCAGTATCTCAGTCAAGAGAGGGAAACACTACTATGCCAGCTGCTTTGAGGTGTTGACATAAAAACCCAAACAAGAAAACAAAAACCACAAGCCAACTCAGCAAAACTATGTTGCTTCTCCCACACTAAGGGGAAATGCCTCTGGAATTCCCTCTTCCTTATTTCAGCCCTCATGTTTCAGCTCTCCTAGACAAAAGCTTTTCATACCAAAGCGTGGGCGGCTTCACAAGGGGAAAAACTCAGGGACACTGCATTTATCTCCACCCTGTTCACTGCATCACCCAGGCCTGCTCTGCCCTCCTCAAGGGAACCCAGGGCACAGACTGTTCTGCTGTCAGCATCCATGTGGTGCAGGATAACAGAGAAAACACAGATGGTGAATCTAAATGACAGATACTGGGCATTACTGGGACACAGGCAGGAGGGTGATTACATTACCTGAGTGTACTGCTCCAGGAGTATGGCTGCCTCTGCGTACTTTCTCTGTTCAATTAGTTTTCCTACAAGAAAAAGTGGGGTTTCAGCTTTTCAGAAACAGCTGGATTTTGTGCCAGAAAACTACAAAGTAGAGGAAAATCCCACTCACTGAGACATGCTCAGTGACATTTCCATATGCTCACAAGTATACTCAGTTGCTAAATCAAGCTGTAATTTAAAAAGGGCACCACAGAAAAGCATTAAATGCATGAAGGATTTAAATCACATTAAGTGACAGAGAAAGCAAATACTGGAATATCCAACTCCAGAAGACTAGACTCCCAGAAGCCGTATTTCCCGTGTTACGTGGCCCTTCATAAACTCCACCTCCGAGTAAGGCTGAATTTGGGACAACGCTCCATTCTCTTGCTGAAATAGGTGAAATTTCTCTTGCTGAAATATACACCACATCCACCACACACCTCATGTATGACATGTGCCAGTGAGCACAAATTCTGTGACTAGCTACCTTCTTCTCCTTAGGACAACACACAGCTTAATGTACCAGCTGGTCCTAGTTCCGAGCTCGCTTCAAGGAGAAAACAAGATGCAGCTCCAAATTATCCAACAGCCTTTAAGGTTGGTGAAGAGACACAGCACTTGCACCAGTTAATGTCTAGAGGCCTCAGAAATGTCAGACACTTCAGTGCATGTCCATTCCTTGAGGTTAACTAACAAAGCAATTTGGAAGAACAGTCTGGCAAGGGAACAATGCAGCCAGCGCTGGGCAGCTGAGGCCACAGTTTCCTTGGCAGCTCCTGGGTTGCCTACCCATTCAGCTTCAACATCTTTTGGTTCCTTTGGGAAACAAAGGTCATATGCAAATGCACAAACCCTTGGGGAGACATGGGATCTTTGTTCTCATTTAAGAAAAGTGCTGCTGAATACTGAGGTTTTCATTGAATTATGGGAAAAATCGAAGTGAACCATAAATAACAGCAGCCACTTCTGCTCTGCACATTTGCATCTCTTCAAGGCATACCTGCCATGTTCCGTGCCAGGCTGGACAGCTCATCCTTTGTGTAACCAAGCTGTGATGCCATGCAAAGGGCTTGCTGCCAGCTGCCACTGCTCTGAAAAGCATCAAGTGCTTTTGCAAAGATGCCAGCACGAGCAAATATCAATGCAGCCTGTTCATACAGCTGCTTCTGAATCAGGTACTCCCCATATGCATCACTGATATCCTGAAAAAAAGGGGTCAAAAAAAAAAAAAAAAGGAAAGAAAAGATTAATAAGGTGAGTAGCTGTCCTCCATTAGTAAAAATTAAGGGCCCATCAACAAAAGCCTCTTACCCAGCTTCTCCAAGGAGTTTCTAGGCATGAAGTTTCTACCCCATTTCAAACTATATCAAGCCAAGGGCTGATGATCAGCACATGGAGACACTTCACAGGGCTACAGCAAGTGACATAGGAGGCACCTGCCTCTCCAAACCAAATGCTGTGTAAACTATGCACTGCAGGAAACCAGACCCTTCCTCCCCACCCACATGAGCAGTTTTTGTTAGAATGTCTCTCAGAACCAACCTACTTTAGGAAACAAACACTGACACACAAGGGAACACTAAAGCCCTGTAACTTTATAGGCACAGGCTACTCAGAGCTCACTATCTCCATGAAGAAGACACAAGTGGATTTGACTGGAAGGATACAGGGGAAATAATAAAACACTCCCAATGAGTCATTCAGAAACAGACCTCCCTCATGAGTAAAGACTCCTTTCTGCTTTCACTGTGTTGCAAGTAGACTGATTTTCTCTATTTCCCCTCTCATTCAACTCCTCCTTGTACAAAGGCTTGTGTGTATTTACAGTATCTACATTAGATTATATTAAATGCACTTTTATCTCAGCCTTGGACAAGCTGAAGTTCTTCAGTAACACTGAAACCAATAAGGGACACTACAAACTTGTAAACAGCACATCTGAAAGTGTCCAAGTTCTCCAGCACTTTTCAGAATAGCTTAAGGATAATGAATTGTCCCCACAAAATCTGCAAGCCACACAGAGGTCAAAACAGGGAGAAGTCCTCCTGAGGTTATAGGAGTTACACAGCAAAATAGTGCAGCAGAAGAAACAGCACTTCCAGGTGCTCTCTGAGTCACAGGATTAAAGGAGTAACAACCATAGATGACCAGGCCCCACAGGGTTAGTGCTGAGAGTCACTCCAGCTGTTATCTCAGAAGAGGGTCTCAGACAACACTGGAATAGCAATGACCTACAGAACTTGAACACAAGCAGCTGCAGTTCCATTTCTGCCCTCATGCAAACTGCTGAGAAGATACAAACACATGCAAAAGGGAATATAAAGCTTTGACACTGCACTGTCAGGAGCTTACGCACCTTGTACTCCTGAGTGCTAGAGGGGTACAGCTTCAAGGCCTCAGAATACAGGTTCTGATCCTTCACCAGGTTCAGAAATTCAGAGAAGTGCTCAGGACCTGCAGAAATAATTTACTTGTAAAAATAAAAGAGAAAGTACATGGCCCTCCTGGCTCCCAGACAGCCTGGGTTCACAACATGAAGAAGCAACTAGAGGCGTCTGGGTGGAAGAGCACCCATTTTACTGCTGTAAAATCAAGGCATTTGCTTCCATGAGGTTTTGCCAGAGATATTAACCAGGCACAATTCACTTGAACAGGAACCACACAAGACTTCATGTGCTTCATGACCACAGAGGTGTAAACATTTCTCTCTTCCTGCACCAAGCTATAGCACAAAAAGCAAGTAGCAAAAGTTCACCACGCATTACCAGATGGGAAGATGATCTTGTGCAATCCTTCTCTTTCTTTAGCTATTTCCCCCCAAAGGCTCTCCAAAATGGAAATGTTACAGTGCAGAAATCCTCCTTAGGACACCTACCACATTTGCAGAGGTGGCCAAGAGCTTTCGTGTATCTCTTCAAGTGTCTGTCTATTGTATATCGTTGATAATTGGTTTCCATTTTCCGAAGGGAATTTAAGAAGGGTAAGTATTCTTTTGGGTCCTGCAAAGAGCAATAAAAACCGCAGTTGAGCTAATCTGCTAAAGTCCTTATTTGCCCTCATCTTCACCAACCGACAGTCACATATTTGAAAATGTATGATAATATCCTAAAAAAATGAATTTTTTTCCAAATGTACGCCATCTTAAAGAATCAATTTGTGCATATACTCTTGCCAGAAATTACTAACTTGAATTACCAGGCTCCCACACGGACTTCAGCAGTATCTAAAGGATAGTAACATTTAAAATTGAAGCCTATGTGTCATATGAAATGTTGTTTTTTATTATCTATCATTATCTATAAATTTACAGCCATAAAGTAGATCAACTTCCCCACACCGAAGGTCATAAAACCTCTTAACACAAATAGGGTGTTCTAACTGATGGACAGCAGAATTTGCTGAAACACTAGGAAACTCTGAAGATGCAGATGGCCATTTCAGGTCAGAGATTTCACATTAAAATGAAGACACATGCTATTATAATGGGAACCACTAAAAAAGCAAGAATCAAGAATACAAAACTGAGAATGGAAGGCATAGAGTCAAAACACTTCAGATATCAATCCCTCCCTTCCCCAGAGCTACTTTGCCCTGCTGCTTTAGAAGAGCACTGTTTCACTTGGAACACAAATTTTCCAAGTTGTGGTCAAGAAGTACCAAAGGATGCAGAGACACAACACTTTCCCAGCATCATCCCAAGCACACAGAGAGCTTCTGAGCAACTGGAATCCTGCCTATGTAGAGAGCCATTACTAAGAAAACATGTAGGCTGATCTGCAGACTACAAAGAACCTTTGAGAAAGTAGAAAAATAAGTTCCTTAGCTGGAACTATAAGCCAAGACCTTTTGAGACTTTTCTGCCACCATGACGACTAAATCAAAGTCATACGTCCCCAAGGAATAATCGTACAATTCATTGACATCCACAAGGAAAAGCAGGTACTTCAGTGCTTCTTCTGCACTCACAGCCTGGACATCTGGCATACTGCTTTCTGCAACAAGATAAAGCAGCATATGACCTGTTACACCCCCGGCAGCAGAACCCTGCTGTGAGGAAAGGATGCATCATCAAGCATCCCTTGACACCAGAGAGGGACCACGAGACTAATAGCTTGCTCTGTCTGGCAGAAGGGTTACTTTGCCTTTTCTGTGCAACTTCAAGGACCATCCCAAGCATAGCACTGAGCATGCAACTGTGATGAGCTCGAAGCATCAGCACGGAATAAAGGCAAAGTTTGCTAGTTTGAAATACCAGAATCCAGAATAGGAACATCCTATTCCATGATGAGAGAATTAAGAGTTCCAACTGGAAAGTGAAAACAGGTCCAACTCTGGGATTATCTGCCAGCAAACCTAGGTAAAAGAGTGAGCTGAGGGCATGTACAGCAGCCTATTGTAGATGATATGCTGCTGTACTTAAACACACAGCTGGTTTCAAGCGCATTTCTGGTTTCTGGCATTTAGTGCAGTATCTCAGGGCGCAGCTGCACAGAGAGCTGCAGGTTGAGCTCTTGGTGGTGAAAGCTTGAGTGTGAACTGCCAACCCCTTGCACAACAAAGGGGACAGAGACCTGTGAGACACTGAGACAGTGTCCTCAGCAGGAGCTGAGAACCTCCAGATTTTTTCAGGGGTAGATTGTGAAGGTATAGAAGTTCTCCAGGTCTAGGAGTTCCTTTGTTTACGGTCCTTTTTCAGAGGTATCAGCTGGAGCTGCTACTTTGTTAGTTAGTTATTGCACTGAGACTAAATTATATTAAGCAGGATGTCTGAGACTCTACTGTGGGAAACACGAGGTTGAGCTGGTCTGACTGTGCGTGTGGGGGATGTAGCTGTGGGGGATGGTCTCAGCTTAGATGGTGCAAACGTGACTTCCAGTGTGGCTCTTGCATGGTCAGATGGGGAAGTTTCCCCCCTAACAGTTTTGGTTGGACAGCTAAGTTTCCTTAACACAAAGCTCCTGCAAACCACCCATTTTCAAGACTTTTGAATTTCTGATACAAAACCTCGAAGATCATGAACCTTCTGGAGAGCAATTTCTAGTTCTGGAGGACTTTTCTTTACATGTGCTGTCAGTATCGATAGGCAGTATCTGGAGAAAAGAGAAGTAGTGAATGAAAAAGTGAGGAGACAGAAACACAGCTTATTTTTAGCACAGTTTGTGCAAGTTCTAGTTTATAGTTAGTCTTAGGAAAAAAATAAAAATAAAACTGCTCAGGCATTTTGATCCTCCTAGAGGTAGGCAGCAAACATGGGAAAAGAACAGAATATACCAGAAAGGTTCTTCTACTCAGCATGCCTTTTGAAACATGTCATAAAGCTGGAGGTGTGCTTTGTGTAGAATGAGCTTCCTTACCATGCCAGCCAGCATGATGAAGAGGACATACCTCTCTCTAAACATTCAGATAGCTGGATAGTTTTCCAAATGAAATCTGGCACAAAAATAGCCTTTTTTATAAAACGAAAGCTTTCTAGGGTGTTATTTATACTTCCATACATTTCACATTTACTATTTCAAAAGAGCTTTCCCAGCCAAGCAGATGCTTTCTTTTCTGAAACAGTTTGCTGGAAAGTGTCTAAATTCTTAGGGCTCAGCATCTACTCACCACATCTCACCTCTTTCCACTGTTTAACACTAAGCTGCCAATAGTTTAGCACCATTTCACCAGGCACTGCTTTTATGCTATTTGCCCAGGTTTTATCTTTGTCTGGTACTGATTCATCCAAGGAGAATGATTACCAAAAATGTAATCAATCAAGAACATGGAGCTGATCATTTACGAAGTAATTCAGTGTCAAACAGAATAGCTAATATCTTTACAAAGGTAAATCTTTGTAAAATCTTTACCAGCTGCTTCAGTCAGCAACTCAACACGATGAAAATCTTGCTATCTCCTAAACATAAGGTAAGCATCCTACATCTATTATTTTAATTCTGGTAGTAAAATGTTGGTATGCTATCAGTGGAATTATTAGGTGTTTCCAGGACAGCATTCTCAGCAGGAGCAAGGCATGGTACAGTTAATTTTGTGAAGCACAAGCTTACCTCAGAGAACCTAGGGCCAAATAACTGATGTGAAGGACAGCTTTGCCTCCTGCCAGTGACTTACTAGAAATCTCTCTAATGGTTCCTTCACCTACAGTAAGAAGGTACTCACTTTTGAGGGTCAATGTGTTCCATGGCAACTCTCATCACGTCACATATGAGGTTTACTTTTTTCTGATCAGGATGCGGGTGTGGCTGGCTGTTACTGCTACCATTCAGGGATGGGTACATACTCTTTGTGAAATCTTCTTCTCTAGATAAAAACAGCTAATGTGAATAAGAGCACCATCCATCGCATAGCCCAGAACAAAGACAGTAAGGTTAAGGAACTCAAATGTATGCAGAAAATAACTACTCATTAACTGCCACACTAATAGGAAGCTGTCCAAAAATCTGTCAGTCTAAACTGACTGTCAGCCAAGAGAGGTATTAAAAATAAACACATGAAAGTGGCTAAACAACTACTTCAGTAGCAGAAAAATATCAGAAGGCAAGATTTACAAGATACGGTTGTCTTCTACCAAATCCACTATGGATTTACCCACTGAACCATGCAGAAGAATAAGCCATTAGCTATTATTTCTGGTTAGGTCAAGATGGAAAATCAAACAAAACACCTAAGTGACTGCACCAGTTCCTACACAATTTTTGACTTTAGCAACCTTGAGAAGTCCTGAAACTACCATCACTGTAAAGACTAATCACTGAGCCTTTAAGAAAGGAGTCAGGGGACTTGGTTTGAGGATCCAAGCAAGTATCTTGGCCTCAGATTAGGTAATGCACTGCCACCTTGCTCCTCTTTATGAGGGTACAAAACTTTCTCTGTTCTTATTTACTGCTCTACAGCAACCCAGCAGAGAAGTCAAAGCACTCAGATAATGTACTAATTACTTGCTGCAAAAATCTAATGGCTACCTGCAAACTGGAATTCCCAACAAGATACACTATCCCTGAAACTATGGAGCCTACTCAAACCTTTATAACTTAACGCCAGATTTCTGATTCCTTGCACCCACACTGAAGAGTTGCCAGAATTTTGACAAAATAATGTAGCACCACTGATTACACAAATGCTTCCATTTCCAGACTTACACTTACTTCAGTTCTGTGAAAAACAAGTTGATATAGTTCACAGAATCTATTTGCCTGATAAACGTTTCTGTGTTTTCCAGAAATACCTGAAATGAGCAAGAGTATTACCAGTTATTCTGAACACTAAGAACATGTACATCAAGTACAAGAATAAATCAGAGACCTTCTCTGAAAGTACAGGATGAAGGAAATGCTAAATCAGATCTGTCTGTATGATGGTGTTGCAGTGCAGAACAGCCATCACTGCCAAAAGCAGAAATGACAGCTACACTTTTGAGTCCACTGTTCAGTTGACTCCAGGGTAGTTTAAGTGTGGCAAACAACACAAGAGAACTGGGCAGACTTGCCTTGGGATTGTGGTCATAGAGAAGATTGAGGTTGATTCGCAGCTTCCTCATACACTGAAAAGCTTCCCTGAACATCAGCCTGAAAGAATGAGTCAAACAGGAGTTTACATAGTGGACAAGATGCAAATAAAGGCAACTGACTAGAGCCAAGCACAGAAACAGTGGAATGAGAACAGCCTACACAATGAGCTGTGTAGACAGTCTTTCAGAAAAATGTGCAAAGTCAATACTGTTCATTGCTGACCCTTGCAGTGGGACACACCAGTTCACAAGGTTGATGAAGTAATACAGAACTTAGATTATTTTTATCACCATTAAAAGAGAGTGTTACATTTTGTATTAATTTCCCTTTCAGAAAATTTCAATGTAAATGAATTCAGTAAAAAATGGGAAAGAGTCAGCTTAATCCTAAAGTGGCTGAGATGTCTGGAGAATGGAGATGAAGATTTCTCCAATCCACAAAATTTCAGCACACGTAATAAACCCTTCAGTGGTGAAATGAGAAGTACCTGGCACAGGTGAAAGCTAAACTTCTAGGTGGTCACCCTAGAACAGTTTTGTTCTCTCTAACATGGTCAATTCCTCTGAGTTTAGCCTCTCTCTCTTTCCCAGGTCAGTCAGCCTCTAACAGCACAGACTGGGGGAGGGAAGACAAGAATACACCAGTGCCATTTACCTGTCTAGCCACTTGCGAATCTGGGCAAGAACCAGAGCACGGTGGTGAATGGTCTCCAGATTTCCTCTTGGCATCTACAACACAAGATCCACACAATTACTTGTAGTTACTCTGCCTAAATTGTGGGAAAAGTGAGAACTGACCAATTTCTTAGGCCTGTCTGCTACTTGCAAGTGCATGGGCCTGTTGGCTCACTTCAGAGGACATGCAATTTCAACAACTGTGGAAAAATACCTGAACATTCTCTCAGTTCAGAAATATTCCTTCCTCAGAAGGCTCTGAATCTGGACCCAACCAGGCATGATCCAGAGCAATTTGATCCAGTTTTCAAGTTAGCTCTGCTCTGAGGAAGATGTTGGGCTCTACACCGCCGAAAGTACCTCTCAAATTACACCATTCTCCATTCTGTGAATCTCTGAAGAGTGAGCTCAGCAAAAAAATAAGTACCAAGGCTAATGGAGGCCTGCTAGTAAGTACTAGAAAGTGAGTCTTGAGATTCATGGTGAGAGGCCACAGTATGTAGCACTGCACTACCTCAGCCATTAGGAACTTGAATAGTCCTCCCCAGTTCTGCACATGCCTATCTGCCTGTACCAAACCTACTCCCAAAGGCATGCTCAAAACCCCTCTGCATCCAGCCAGGCAGCTGGAGATTCGTGAGGTGCTGTGCTGCAGCACTGTAAGGCACCAGCTTTGCAGCACTGCACACACTGCAAGTTGGCCAGGTGCCCACTGTGACAGGCCCCTGCACACCCTGATGTCAGCAGACACAGGAAGAGCACTGACCTGAAGTACAACCTTTGTGTCCAGGGGAACAACAGTGACGATACGTGAGCCTCGCTCCACCTTGCGCAGGGTCTCACTGTTGGGTGCAGCAGCACTGCTCAGACCAGCCTGGAGGGCTGAACACAACATATATCAGCACACATGGCACAGGCAGCACAGTGCTGCATTAAGGACCTCCTATGTTGTAGGAGCCAGGCAAGGTTGTATTGGACCAACCAAGCCACCAGTACAGCAGCGATCTTCAACAATTCCTGACAGGCTGAGAACTTGCTGAGTGCTAATCACTACTGTACCTGTACACAAAGCAGAAGTGTATCCTCTGCACAACAGGATGACAAAGCTCAACAGACCAGATAAGAGTAGCACTGAAGGGTGTAAAGGACCAATAAGTTGACCTGTCTTTACCAAGGTCATCACACTTCTTATAGCCAGACACCAACAGAAACTCTTTCTACAGTGATCCCCACTCTACCATATACCCTCAAACAGCACACAGACTTCTTCTGGACATGGAGGGAAGGGAGAGAATGCAGGGCTAAGCTGTAGGAAACAGTGAAAGGGTCAACTATAGCACAAATGCTCTTCCCTGCGAAAAGCATGTGATATATATTCAGTTCCCTGAGCTCCTTGCTCTCTGGTAGATTTCTGAAAAGAGCTCTCTTACCCTCATCTCTTAAACACTTCCTTTGAGGAACCCAAATACAACAGGTTTGGATGTGAAAAATGGGAACATCTTGTGTTTCCAAGACAAATGCTACGAGTTAGCAGCAGCAGGCAGCCGGTGCTGATATTTACCCTTCACTGATAAGTTCTTCAAGCAGAAGCACTGACAGGTATGTGAGTTGGTTGTCACCAACAAAAACTCATTGTATGTTGCAAATGATGTGATGTTAGAAGCAACCTGTAAAAAACCAGAAGTTTATTACAGCTCAGACCAGAATACAGAAGCTGCCTTTGGCAGAGGAAAAGGGGATGAAATGAGGGACAAAAGTTTTGTACCTCAACATCATTAACAAAAAACCGGCATCGATCTGTGAGGCCCAAGATCACCTCCTGTAATTAAAATAAAGACAACTATGAACTATCAGCATCAAAATCTGCTGTCTTTCACAACACTGACAAGCACTGGATTGAAGTACCTTACAATTAGGTAACAAGTACCTCATGTGAATTACTTAGAGAAGCCAAGACAGCAAGTCATCCAACCTCTCTTCCAGCAGGGCTTAAACTTGAACATCTTTAAACACTGCTGGCAGAAAATCCAGCTTTGCCTACCCTGTAACTGCACAGTCACAAAATGGAAGCAGAAGCCATCCTAGAAATCTAGGCTTTTCTATTCAGCAGCACTTGGTCTAGGATACTCGAGGAAAACTACCACTCAAGAGCAGAGCAAAGCAGCTTCCTACAACAGGATGCACACTGAAGGAAGGAAACCCCTGAAATACCAGCAAAATAGCTAGTCATTCTTTAAGCTGTAGGAACTATCAAGAAACCATCTCCAATAGGAAAAACCAGTGCAGCCATATTTACTAATTGGTTAAGTTCAAATAAAACAAAGCAAAACAGTCCTTTCAAAAAAGAGTGTAGTAGTAACTGCTAGACATTTCCAATCTGAATCTTCTCATTCTTAAATGAAATTATTCACTGTATTCATAGAACGGGGTGATCGGGTGTTAACTGCAATCCACCAGAAATGCTCTAGAAGGTAAGGGAAGATAAGCTCTCAGCTCTGCATAGGGCCTTATGAAGAACATCATGAAAAAGCATCACTGGGCCCTGGGCAGAGGACCATGGTGCACTTTTGGCACAGGTAACAACTGAGCTGGGAATTTCATCTGCTCGCAGTCTCACTTACTTCACCACTGATCCTCGTGATGGAAATCTGCACACAACGGTAGGGGAACTGCACAGCAGAGCTACTGCTAGTCCACCAGGGCTCAAGGACTGGAGTAGAAGCCTCTAAAGAGCAAAGAAGATCTAATTGTTTTCCAGCTAATCAAACATTCAGACATTAAAACCACATGACATGTATCTTAAGGAAACCAGAACTGCGAGTAAGCTACACTCTCTGACAGGGGTGAGGAATGCTGGCACAGAACTCCAGGACACAGTGGACAAGGCAGTGGTAACTTCCAGGGGCTCAGTAGTGCCTTTATTCCACTGTGGAATAAGAGAGAAGATCTGTGGACGTGGCAAGTCAGTCAGCACTGAACTTGTGTGTGTACATATTTGTATTAACATATGCATGTGTATCTATATAAAGTTATCTTTAATTGAATTCTGACACAAATCACTAATTTCACCCCATTTCTGGGAGCTGAGGAATATAAAAGCAGCATTTTTTAAAATTTAAGATTTTTTCGTAACCCTTTTAAGAAATCTGTAACTATACCTAGTGACTACACCTAAGGCCAGGTATTTTAACAGTGCCCAGCTTACCCCACATGTATTTTAGGATCCGTCTATCAGTCAACTGCAGAGCTACAGTTCTGGTCACTGGGCTGCAGTACAGGCTGATCACTTCTCCATCAACAGGCACTGACAACCTGATGCAAGACAGTGAAAATACAGAATGTCAGTCACAGCAGATACACTTAAGAGCAGATACCTTGTTCCTGCCTTTCTTGTAGCTAGATGAAAAGATGCACATCTCCAGCATGGACATACTTTGTTCACTTAAGGGTCTTCTGCAGTCTTCTCACACCTACGTCAGGTGACAGTGGCACCGCACAGCACCAGCAACTCTAACCAACAGGCATCTGCCTAACTGTGCTGGTCACTCTCTGCACTGCAGCACTCAGCAAACACACCCTTCTTTTTCTCTTCTACAGTTCACATACAAATCATTCCGTCTTTGCTGGGTGAGCACTGCAAAAAGCAGCTCTCTCAATCTCTTTGGGAACCACATTTCTGTACCCCAGTTGGCTTTATTTTGTGTTTGGTTTTAGCTCAACTGGCCCCACAAAGTCCAGCAGGGGAGGAGGAGGAGGAAGAGGAGGAGGACAGAAGTTTCTATGGCTACTGGTCCCCTTCTGGACCTTGATAATGGTGGGCAAAGGGTAGGATGGAGGCATTCAGTGTTATGTGCCATGCCTTCTCCCACAAGTGCCTTCAATTCCAAGGAACAGAGCTATCTTGTACTGATACAGGAATGTTTAGCATGCACCCTTGCTAGGCTGGGTGTAGGCACTAGGACTACAGGCAAATGCTGACCAGTAGGCAGCTTTATGACCTGTTTCATTCTCCTGCCCAGAAGAGAGCCAAATTCCATAACCCATGGCCTCCAGGCTGCAGGTCTAATAAGAGACTTAATTCCTTCTAGGCACTGTCCAGAACCGTTCTCAGACTTCAGCCACAACTGACAGATCTCTAGTACCGTAAATTCAGGCATTCTTCTTCAGCTCCAGCCACGTGAGGCACTGCAGTCAGATGGTGAAGGACAGACTGAGCAGCATGCTGACCTTGACCAACAACCAGGAAGCTGTCATCTGGCAGCCAGGTGAGAAATCGGAGCCCCAGAGGATTCATCACTTCATTGCTGCTGCTGCTCACATCAACTCTGTCACAAAATAAGAGAGGTTGGGACACAAATAGAACATGATTTCAGTAGGGCACCTCACTAGAGAGGCAGAGGACTTCCTGAGCACAGCCTGGCTGTTCAAATACACATCATGGCTGGGAGGGCTCCAGTGCAGAAACACAAATAGCCAAAGCATGAATCCTGCTACAGGCTGAGCTGGAGATAAAGGATGAGACCTAGAAGCTCCATCTGTTTTCCCTAGGTAGTACTGCTTCCATGCCAACTACCTCTAGGAACAAACAGAGAGCACGGTGGGAATTTTAATCTCATCACTGTCTCTGCCATGCAAGCTCTGTTGCTCCGTGTTTTGTGATCATGGGCCTGAGCACTACACCATCATTCCTTTGTGCACCAGGCACAGGAAGGGATACCTCAGTGCTGTCAATAACAGTCACTGGTTCTGCTAGATTCAGACCTCAGTAAAAGGGCATTTCTCAGCACTAGTTGAAGACACAGTATCAACAAAATGAAACCATTTTATCTGACAGCCTCTTAAAAACCTTGAGAAAAGTGGTCAGAGCTATGACCCCTAAAAACATCCAGTCAGCTACAACTTTCTTCTCCCTACTATAGCTGTAGTAGTTCTGTATTACCTGTAGGTTTTATCCAAGTATGGTGTTTCCACAGCTGCTTTAAAGCCATTTCCTCCCACAGCTCCAAACTTGACAGAAGGGTCATTCACTGTACTCTGCCCTAGCAAACACAAAGCAGAACAAAGCAGAATTTAGAGATCCTCCCAAGAGAGCCCCTTCCATCTTCAAACTTATCAAAAAGTAGATGCTACATGAAAGTATTAAAAAAGTCAGGAAGTGCCATTCCTACTAGTACTGCCAAAACGTAATTGTCATTAACACCCACTTTGAGGAAGAGAGTCATGTTCCAACATTGCAGTACGAAACAGCTGTTTCCTAACAACACAATATATAGAACTGCTTTGGGAAGTGCTGGGTGCCCCACACAGATTCCCAGACACTTCCCAGTAACAGTCAGCATCATGCCATGAGAGCAGCTTACGCAAGACACCATGTGCTGCAATCAAGCTGAAGCTAGGCATGGGAATATTACCAGAAGAATTACTTGACTATAGTCAAGTGCCAAGCACGGTCTTCTCACAAAGTCAAGGAACCACCAAAATGCTTCTATGTCGCTCAAACTACTGGAAATTAGAACAGAACTTGAACTCACACTTAAATGAACTATGTCTTGTGTAAAGATTTAAGTGACCACCACCTTAGTAGTCTCCCAAGGTACTTTTCTCAGGAACACAAGTTTCTTTAAATGAGGTTGAAACATGCTCTCACCATATCTGTATACAGAGATCCTGTTATCAGCATCCAGGACAGCCATGTCCCCACTATGTTTGGGATCTGTGTGAAATGCAACCTGATTAACTGCCTGTTGGAGGTGGAGCTCATAGGTACACATGGGTGGAGGCACCACAGCATGCTGGAAGGCTGTGACAAGCACTTTATCTGAGGAAGAAAAGAGAAGAAAATCCAAGATGCCTAAATTAAGCTCTTTCTGGATTCTTTATTAGAAGCAGAAATAATGTTACAGGAAAATGGTTGCTGTACTCTTATTGGTTATTTTCAACAAGCTACCCCTGAAGCTTCTATCAATTACATGGACCCCTCCCTAAAAGCTTTGTAGAAACAATTAAAAGAAGAACTGAATACAAAAGTCTCCCCATCTTTTCCGACCCTAGAGCTGAAAAGCTGTCCCACTGCTTACCTCCATCTATAACAGCCACATTTGCCATATGTTGACTATTCTCCCCGAGCCCATGGTCTGTAGTCCAATTCCAGTCGTAGAAGAGGTAATGCCAGTCCTGGCAGAGTATATGTAGTCTGTACAAGTTCTCTCGGTCCCACAGCAGTGAAACCAACTGATTTTCCTTCAAGTTACCAAAGTGTAGACTTTGCTTCAGGTACCAGTGATAGTTTCCTGTGGTCCACAGCTGAACTATAGAAAAACATAGTTACAACAGACTAGTATTTCAGATCTAGCTGAAACCCCTGCTTCCAACCACCACTGGCCTTCCTAGGGGTGGGTTAAGTGCAATTAAAATAATACTTCTAGTCTTCAGTCCATGAGTCTGTCATACAACACACAGCATAAGAAAATAACACACTGTGTAGAAGTCAATCCTAAAATTCACTGAGCTACCTCTGTGAGACGGTACCCTTGTTTAATGAAGGGCTCAGACGTTTAGTATTTAATTTGTACCACTTCCAGTTACAGCAGCCTGGAAGATACTTTGAACTCAGGCTGAACTACCAGTTCTGCTCATTTTGGCTGGTGTAGTTAATTTTCTTCACAGTGTCAAGTACAGGACTGTGTTTTGGATTTGTGCTGAACACAGGGAGGATAAGTGATGTTTTAGTTATTGCTAAGCTGGGCTTACAGAGAACTAACGTCTTTCACGTCTTTTTAACGCCAAGCTGGCAAGGAAGTTGGGGATGCATAGGTGAGGAGGGGACAGAACCAGGACAGATGACACCAGCTGACTAAAGGGATATTTCAGACCATGTGGCATCTGAACATGGTCATGAACACATATGAGTTTTCATACATGAAGTGAGAGGAACAAGGAGGAAGAGGGGGATATTTGGAGTGATGGCATTTTTTTCCCAAGTAACCATTACACATGATGGGGCCTGGCTGTCCTGGAGATGGTTGAACACCTGCCTGCCCATAGGATGCGGTGAATTAATTCCTTGCTTTGCTTTTTATGGCACATGTGGCTTTTGCTTTTTCATAGTAAACCGTTATTATCTCAACCAATGAGTTTTTCAGCTTTTACCCTCCTGATTCTCTCCCCAGTCTTGCTGGTGCAGAAGTGGGCAAGTAACTCTGTGGGGCTTGGCTGCTGTCTGTGGTTAAACCATGACACCAGCACATCAGTCTCAAAGCCACTGGTAAGCCTCCACAGCATCTCCTGTGCTCCAAGTAAGTACCCACTGCTAAGGACACTTACAAGCAAACATTAAGAGGCAGAGCCTTATGGAGTGCTCTCACCATAAGTGTTTGGGTTGGAGTTTTCCACCTTCAGGTCTTCCAGCCATATAGCCAGGATTGTAGAATCTGCATTCCAAAGCATTTCATTAACCTGCAGAAACAAATATGGCTCTGACCAATATTCTTGCTCCCAGAAAGTTTACAAGACTAGGAGGTGCTCCAACAACAAAAGGTGTGCTGGTTAATAAACAAACAGAGCCCTCATGTATCGCAAAGGTCCTGACAAGGCATCCTGAGGAGCCCACAGATGAAGAGGCCACAAAAATGACAGCAGTGTTCTCTTTGCTTTCCTTGACAGTGAGGAAGCATCTGCCAAAAGACCTCTCAGCATCCACGCACAGAAGCTGAAATAATGGCCTAGCATAGCTTCTCCCTTATTTGGGATAATGTGGGTATATAACCTCACTCTTGCAATGGCTGACATACTGAAAAGTACTTTTGAATCATTTGCCTAGTATAAAGTATATAGAGCCCAGAAGTACCCCATGGCTACAATCATCCTTTACTACATGTCTTTGTACAATGGGCTTCCAGAGTGCATTGCATCTTCTCCACAGGCTTCCTCGTTGTTCTCTTTTCAGGTCACTTTTCCCATTAGGATAAGCACAAAGTATTAGGTTAAAAACCTCTTTCTAGAACTGGAAGAGATCTAATCCTCTACTCCATTACACTCTCATCAAAGAAGCCCAGACAAAAAACTTACTTTGACCTGCCCTTTTTGGAAAGGGAGGGTGAATTCTCCATGAAGAAGTCCATTCTTTTCCAGAAAAACCACATCATGTCTGTTGGGTTTTTCTTGTGTAGATGCTATCAGATTTCCTGAGGGCCTTAAAAAGAGTCAAATGAAAATTAATTCCTTACACAATCACTAACTGTCATTTTAAACCCCAGTCATCTCACATTTTTTTCCAGTGACACGAAGAAAAAGACAGCAGAGGATGTATTTTCCTCAGCACTGCTCAGACAGTCATAGGTCCATCACAGATCAGAGCTTATGATATCCACAGGTGACCAGATAAATGTCAGCACTAGGAAAGGAACCCATTGTGGACCTGATTTTCTGAGTCTGAGAGAGTTTTCAGCCTGTCAATGGCTCATCTGTTTCCAAAGGAAAGTCTCTTGAGAACAATTCTCTCTCAAGGACCATTTCTGTAAATAACTTGGTTTTCTCAAAACAATTCTGTACAGCTGTGCTGAGAGTGTTTTCTCTTATTCCACCAATGGGACTAGACAGGTGTTGTTCCCTTTACCAATCATGTTAAACCTGTATTGGAACACCTTATAAAAGGGGCCGGAAAGTTCTAAACAAAAACCTTCTGATGATCCTCCTGCTGTGGAACTGAATCCATGCTCCTTATTTCGTGTCCAACAGCAACAACCTGTAGTATTTCTTTTTATACTGAGCCCAAATCCACTTGACACTGACTATATGCAAAGAATCTACCCCTTCTTCCAACTTGTGATGCAAGTATTGGGATTTTCAGGGTTTAGAGGGCTACTCTTCCTCATGCTGAATCAGAGGGCAAATTTCTTCAAGTTCTGGGAAAAATAAAAAAAAGGCTGAAGAAATTAAAATGATTCTGATCAAAGACTGTGACCAGGGAATACAAGCAACACTGCTGTCGGCATGCAGACTGTGGTACTACTCACTTCCATGACAGTGCTTGTTCTAATCCCGAGATAGGCTCACTTGTTGACTGCAGCACAAGCTCTCTGCTCCATACCCGGACCTTCCGAGCACCTAAGGGTGAGAAATCAATAAGACAAAGGTCTAAGAAAGCACTAGGAAGAAACTTTCCTACTGTTATGAGGGTAGCAAATTTTAATGCAGATGTGTAAAAAGAAGATTTCTCTTGTACACCTTAAGGGCTAAGAACTTACTCTGTGTCAGGCTGTTCTCCTATAGTAACCAAGTGACTAAAGGAACTGTGTCAGGAATTTCAGTCTGATGTAGTTCAGTCATAATAATTTCCCCCTCCAGCTATCACCACAGAAATGTTAAAATCTTGCTATAAATTTACAATCCTCCCTAATCTGAAGTACTGAAGGTAAAACCCCAAACATGTGGAAGAGCAGTGTGGTTTACGTCGTCCAATATGTTGACCCAACACATTTAAACTGCTCAAAAAGTAGTATTTATCATGGAAAACATCAATTACAGTCTTAGAAGTAATGCATAAGCTCATCACCTCTCTGACTTCAGGGCAAAACCAAGGCAAAAGTATCACCAGTATTTAAAAAAAGTGTGCAAGGCTAAACTCTAGTATGAGTGACAGTGGGTATATGAACCAAACAGATTAATCCATTTGGTGTTGAGAGTCTAGCAGGTATTGTTTAAAGCTTGAGCAGGTGAAAGAAACAGTTCAGATAGTAACTATAAAGTAGTACTCTCTCCTGGTGCCTCACTGAACTGGACACCAAACCGCAAAGAAAGTATTCCAAATATCATGTCTATAAAATGGCGCTGAGAACGTCAGAGCAGAGAAAAGGGCAATTAAATAGCTCAGCTCACCCTTGCTTTAACTGGCCAACAGATCACAAATAGTTCTTGCCTCACCTAGATTCTGCTTAAGAAGCCCTTTACATGTGCTGGTTTTTCAAACAAGCTTGGTGCCTTACCTGTCTCTGGACAGACAGCACTCACTGCAACAAACTGCCCGTCTCCTCTCCATGTCACCCGAGGCCTGCCATCATCCCAGGCTGATGCTGGCAACACCTCCTAAAGTCACACAAAAGAAAGTTGCATCAAAGCTTGGGAAGGCAACTGCTGTCTTTGTCTAAACAGACTGCTCTTTCAAGAGCCTCAGGATGAAATCCACCGATTAAAAAGTGCCAAGACTAGTAAGTTAAAAACTCATTATTCAAAATATTGTTTTAGGAAACACTAGAATTAAAACTATTTAATTCAGTCTGCTCCTCCTTCAAGTGCATATGACTGTCTCTTCACATGATCACACGCTATAGACAGCAGTGCGTAATCTGGACACACGGTGAATTGAGATTTGATGATGATTGATGCTGGGATGGCTGCAAATCTTATCTAGAGCTCTGTCTGAGAAGCAGTAAGTACTCCCTGATGCCTTCTTGAATTCAAGGGAAGATAAAAATGCATGATTTCAGACAACACAGAAAGAGACAGAAGCAGCCTACGAAGAGAACTACCAGAAAGGTGGTTGCAAATTGATTCCACAGGAATAACAGAAACTCTCTTTATGCATGGTTTCCCTGACAGAGCATCAGCTTGACACAAAAAAAGCAGTATAATACCGTCTGTTTGCGATGTGCTGCCTGTTTTCCTTCTGATCCATGGAACTGTGTCTCCTTTTTACCCCAGCCAAGAGCAACAAACTTTCCTGAAGAAGAAATAATCCTTGTAGTGGAAGATTTACAGATAATACCTTAACTACTCTGCACTATGTAACACAACCACAGCCTCACGCAACCCACATCTTCTCCCCAAATTTTATTCTAAAAACCTGCTGGGAAGTTATGTAGTCTATAAAGTACTCTGGTACATGGAACTTACTTGAATTTATGCTGACAAGTAACAATACTGACTTTACCCTTCAGCTGTCCAGTAGCATTATAATCTAAATAAAATTTCTTCTGGAGTCGTAAGTCCTCAGAGATCCATTTCCTGACTTTCCACATGCTTACAACATACCAATTACATCAGCTAGGGCAACTTCATTTCTGTGTACCTCTCACCTTCTCCAAACTCATCTTGGTGGATTTGCTTCTCTGTAATTGGCTCAAAATCCCTTGTCATCATGATGAGTGTCTGCTGACCTGCAGGGCAGATATTAAATACAGTATTGGTAACGGTATCTGCAGCAAATAAAAACTCAACTATTCTCCTGTGTGCTCCTGTTGTTCTACCATGGACCTGAATATAGAAAACATGGTACTAGAGAGAACACAACCTTTAAAGCATGAAATCTCAAACTCAAACAGAACACTTGGAAATTTTTCTCCTCAAAAAAATGCTTCCTGGCCTAAGCTTAGTAAGTTTTTTTCACCTTCCAAACAAGTACCCAGTTCCTTTTCTCTTGAGACATGAAGGACAAGAAGGAAACTGGGAACAGTCACCATGGATTTATGAAAAGGAAATCATACCATCCTGATAACCTCTTACAATGAAATGACCAGCTTGTGAATATGGGGAGAATGGTGATTTATCTTGACTCTAATAAAGCTTTTGATGCTGTGTGCCACGACATCACCGCAGACAAATGCACGAAGTATGGGTTAGATAAAAGGGCAGTGAAAACCAGCTCAACTACCAAGCTCAAAAGCTTGCTAGCACTTTCATTAAATGCAGCCTGAAGTCAGTCACTGGCATGCCCCCGGATACTAGGGGCAATGATTAACATTTTCTTTAATGACCTGAAGCATGGGACCCGCAGCAAATTCGTAGTTGACACAGAACTGGGAGAAGCAGCAAGAACAGCAGAAGGTAGTGCTGCTGTCCACAGGGACTCTGTCATGTAGGCAAGATGGGCTTCATCAAAACTTATGAACTTCATAAAGCTCAACAAGAAAAAATGTCACGTCCTGCATATGGGAAAAAATAATCTCAGGCACTAAGACAGACTGGGAACCAAGGGGCTGGAGAGCAGCTTAGCAAAGAAACATAAACTATGTTTCCTGTGGCACGAAGTTGAAATAGCTAGCAGTATGCCCTGCTGCACAGGTGGACAACAGCATCCTGGCTGCATCAGGAGCGCTGCCAGCAGTTTTTGGGAGGTGATCTTGTTCCTCTACTCAGTGCTGGTGAGACACACTGAATGGTGACTCCATTTCTGGGCTTCCTAGTGCAAGACAGACAAGGACATACTGGAATGAGTCTTGCAAAGAGTCAAAAGGATGATTAAAGGCTTGAAAAATCTGTCACGTGAGAGGCTGAGACAAGCCAAACTACTCAGGCATCAGGGGAATGTCGTGTGTGTAAATATTATGCATATTATGTGGAAGATGGGGTACAGTAAAGAAAACATAGCCACATTGTTTGTAGTGCTGAGGGACAGCACAGGAGACAACGGGCACAAAAAAAATACAGAAAATTCCCTTAAAACCTAAGAAAAGTTTCATTTTTTTTTTTACTCTGAGGGCAGTTACAAATAGAAACAGGATGCCCACAGGGGTTGTGGGGTCTCAAACCTAACTGGGCACAATCCCCCAACAACTTGCTCTGCGTAACACACATTGAGCATGGTGGTTGGAAGAGGTGATCTCCAGAGTTCCCTTTCAGTCTCAAGCACTCTATAATTCTGTTTTGCCTGAGGCTAATTTTATTTTCTAGGTGAGTCACACCGGTAGTTAATTAGGGCTTGTGACACATACTTGTCCTACCAAAGGCCAAGAAACAGTTTTTGTTACTAAGAAGTCAAGTGGTGATATAAAGAATTCTTTATGTTTTTGAGGCAAGATCAAAGGTACAACCTGGGAAGATTTTAGGGACTAAAAACTCTTCCACAAAGCAGCTTTTTGGGCCTAACCAATTTTTTCTTGGATCTCTGAACCACCTTATGAATCATGAAATGAAAACTAATGTATAGGATCTCGTAGAGTTTCTTCCACTTTAAGTCCTAGTCCCAATTTTGTAATTTTTTCTTTCTCTCTCTTGATCTAAGTTACGTTTTGTGCTTTGGCCGTAGAGTTTCACTCTTACAGGCAGAAATCTTACGGCTGTTGTTGATACCTGTTGCAAGCAAAACAAGCTCTTGGTCAGGACTCCAGTTCATGATACTCAGACCGCTGTCCACACTTCCAACACATTCCACCTGCAAGACCAAAATAAGATCACAGAAACATGAGTGCAGCACTATCCCAGCACAAATGCAAGCAGTCACCAAGGCAAAAGAAAATTGCCTCCTACTTGGAAAAGTCAAAAGTCTAACTTTACACTTTGTGTTCAACTAAACAAAAGAAACATTTCTGACTAAAAATGGTTCCAGGATGTTTATGAATGAGAACTCAGGTAATGCGGAGTCTAAGACATTCCCTGCATACATAGTTTTACAAAGAGCTTTATTCTGCAACTCTCAGTCTTATGTCAGCACATACTCTGTCAATACTAATATGGCCTGACAGGGCCTGTGATTACCTTGGTAAATACTCTTTAGTAACAGAACACAGAAATAATGATTCTTACCTAGAGAATTCCAAAAGGTAAACTCTGACCAGCTTGTGTATGCTGACCTTGACAACTGTGTGTAACTGCATGTCAATGTCAAAGTTTGTGGAAAATTGGGCTAGTTTTACTGGGCCATCATAAGCAAGGAATAGCAGTAGGCAGAGCTTTTGTTACGCATGGTTAACCTGATTTGCAAAAGGCATGGAACAGAACAACAAATACATGACTCATTGTGATAAACAGCAAGATGCCATTCGAGGAATTAGGCTTTTCAGGTAAGAAAAGTGAGACTGGGCACTGGTCAACAGAGTAACTATCACTCACATAGAGAGGGTTTCAGAATAAGCAGAGGAATCTTCCAGACCTCCTTCTTGGTGCTCAGACTGCGCCAAGAGAAGACTAGAAAGTAACACAAAAAACTGGAACAGTAAGCCAAAATACCATAAAATAAAGAATCTGAAGTTAAGCCTGTTCTCTGATGCATCTACCACTGCAAAAAAAGTCTCCTTATCACAACTCTGATAATTCCCATTTCCTTATGACATGTTGTAAGTTGCACTACAGGACACATTTTTCAGACACAGCTAATTGCATATTTAAGTGGTATCTGCAAATCATGTGCAAGCATGAACCAAAACAGACACGCTACAAATAACCACAATTTTACAGCTAACTCAGACAGAGCACTATCATCTCATGCCCACTTAAACCTACACTGTTGGACTGGTATTGTGGGAGCTGATTCAGAGGGTGCTGTTGTGGTGTTTAAGTGTCCTGCTGAAGATGATAAAAATCTGACACAGAAAGCAAGTATCTCAGTTTCTGCCATAGCCTACATCATGTCAACATGTATCAATGGATAAAACGGTAGCTACACTGTGAATTATGAATTGATTACTTCATTCTTTACCTAGTCTCAGCAATATCCTGCTTCTGTAAGACTCTCCCGCAGATCCTTTTCTGCTGGGAGCTCACTCAGCAAACTTTAGAGGATCCAGGCTGTGGACAAGCAAACTGTCATTTCAATTGCAGTTCTTTTACAAAGTATACGTTCTGTCTTTAGTCATTCTCAAGGCTACCACAAAAATCAGCTTGTCTGCCCAGAGAATGGAGACTAGCCACAGCTCAGTATGCAATGAGTGCACAATTGGCTCCTAAAGAAATTGTAAGTGTTACTCTTTTCTCTGAATTTCCTCAGTACTGTTGAGTCTTTCCTGCCACGTTACCTGTTTTGTGCTCAGATTGCAGAGTAGGATGTCTCCAGCTGCTGTAGCAACACACACACTCTCCTGCTCTGGAAGATCTTCGACACCCACAATGCAGCCACTTCCATCTTCAGGCAAGAACCCATCCACAGTCAGGGAGACTTCTCTTGACACCTTGATAGAGAAAGGCCAATGATTTACTAATTACATACCACCTCACTGGGATTTTTGCAGAAATGACAGAGTAAAGTCATAGGTATATTTTATTCTACTGCAGTTACAAAAAGCATTAGACAGTAGAAGAGAGTGTGTGAAAGGCACCATAAAAAAAGCCAGCTTGCAAGTACTTATCTTCACTTATCCATAGGAAACCGTGAAGATCCTCTTAGGGTAAAGGTGATAGAAGAAAATGAGAAAACTCACACATGGAAGCAAACAATACACAACTTCCAATTTGCCCTGCTAATTGTCTTACAACACCCTTTTCATACTTCACCACAGTATCAACATTAAGAGGTGCATGGGTGGGTGCTTAAAGTGTCCCACTGCTCTTAATGGAGCATGCAGACTTCTTAGACACAGCATATAACAATTTCTAAGGAAAATCATTTGGATGGTTAAGGGCACAGCAATCTCTGAAAATTAAATTCCTGGAAAGCCCCAAAGTTTTTTTGTCAGTTAATTTCAGAACTAAATGTACTGAAGAAGTTAGATACTTCAGAGTTGCATTGAGAAGAAAGCAACCCCGCTCTAACCCAGGAATTCTTAAGTCAGTAGCATTTTATAACTTTAGCGGAATGTTGGGGTTTTCCCCCCCCTAGTGCAAAGTTCCGAAAACTTCCTCTTGTACTCTTCACTATCTCTTTGCCTGCTTGGCTCTGTTTTGTGAACTTGTCCGGATGCAACAGTTCGCCAGGTCGTGCTTAAGACTAAACCATGTGAATGACAGGCGTCTAACACAGCCACGCTCTTAAAAAGGCAGATTTAGTATTTTAGAAGCACAAAAAGCATCTTCAGCCACCAAGATCACCCAGCAGCGGCTTCCACGGGGCCGTGAGAAAGCAGCAAGCGGCGGCGGGGAGCAGCAGGAGGGTCCAAGAACCCGCAGACAGCGCGGCGAAAGGGGAGCCGCATCAGGAGACGAGTTCCCGGCGAGCTCCCGCTGGCGGAGGCACAAACGCTTCAATCCAGCTTTGCAACCGAAGCCGACCCCAACACGCCGGCAAGCCCCAGAACCCTGCCCCGCAGCCGCGGCTCTCACCGAGTCCCCGGCGGGGCGCAGCTCCACGAGCCCGTACTGGGAGCCCACGAGAACCACGCCGGGCTCGGCGCCGAGGCAGAAGCATTGCGGGCTGCCCGTGGCGGCGGTGGAGCGGCACCCACCGGCCCGCAGCAGCCGCAGGTTCCTCATGGCGGAGGAAGCGAGCGATGGAGGCCGGGCAGCGATGGAGGCCGGGAGCTGCAGCCCTCAGAGCGCCGCCATGTCGTGCAGCGCGGGCGGGCGGGCGCAGGCGCCTTGCGCGGTGTCGCTCGCGCAGGGCGGAGCGCGGGCCCTCCTTCCCTCCCCGGGCACTGCGGGAGCGCCGCGCTGAGGGCGGCCGCGGTTGAGTCGGGAAGTCCAGCGCTGCTTGTCCTCAGCAGCTCAGCTCCCTGTGAGCCTGCACAAATAACAGAATCACCGTGTCTGGAGGAGAGCTTTAAGGTCACCCAGTCCAACCATTTCCCCCAGCACTGCCACTGTAACCTTTAAACCACATCTCCAGATCCAGATGGTTAAACACAAGGCATGGGGGACTCCACCGCCTCCCAGGGAAACCTGTTCCAGTGCCTGAGCACCCTGACAGTGATACTTTTTTTCCTAATGTCTAATCTGAATGTCCCGTGTCTCAGATTAAGGCTATTTCCTCTTGTCCCCTCACTGCAGGCACGGCAGGAGAGACCGACCCCACCTCACTTCACCCTCCTTTCAGGAGCTCTGGAGGGTGATGGGGTCACCCTGAGCCTCCTCCTCTGGAGACTAAACAACCCCAGCTCCCTCAGCCAGTTCTCATAAGATATGTTTTCTGGTCCTTCCGAGATCCTTGTTTCCTTCTCTGAACATGCTCCAGCACATCAATGTCCTTTTCAGAGTGAGTGGCCCAGAACTGGATACAGCACACGATGTGCAACCTTGCCAGAGTCAGTGGGATGACAGTGGGAGGAGAATGATTCTTTTGGAGTCATTTGTGCACTAACCAGCTGAAGAACTCCAGCTGAGACTTCTAAGGCACTTACAGGCAAGCCTTCACATAGGTTAGTGCTGCCATGATGCCACGGCTTCTGTCACACTCTGCCACGTCCTTCCAGTTGTGACAGAGGGGGAGAAGGTAGTTCAGCCTTCAGGGGGAAGAAGGACTTCTTGCAACCACAGTTATACCCTTCACACTTCCCCCTTTTCCTAGTGGAGCTTTACTCCCATCAGTCAGTACTGATGACATTTAAGAAAGACGAGCTATTGGAGAAGGTCCAGTGGAGGTGACAAAGATGATTTGGGGATTGGAGCTTCTCTCTTATGAGGAGAGACTGTGGGAGCTTGGCCTTTTTAGTCCAGAGAAGACTGAGAGGAGACCTCATCAAACATACAAATATTTAAAAGGCAGGTGCCAAGAAGATGGTGCCAGACTCTTTTCAGTGGTGCCCAGTGACAGGATGAGGAGAAATGGCCATAAATAAAACACAAGAACTTCCACCTCAGCATGAGGAAGAACTTCTTTATGTTGAAGTTGGCAGAGGAAGTTGGAACAGGCTGCCCAGGGAGGTTGTGGAGTTTCTGCCTCCGGAGACATCAAAATCCTCAATGCATTCTGCTCTAGGTGATCCTCCCTTGGCAGGGATGGTTGGACTAGATGGTCTCCAGAGATCACTTACCACCCTAACAATTCTGTGATTCTTTGTGATTCTGTGATCCAGTCTAATGGCCAAATACCAAGAAAAGACCAATTTGAGATAAATTTGTTTTGTCTATGGCAATCTGTAAATTTTGTATGCTGTAATCAGCTTAATGTGCTCTACAGTTTGGCATTTTAAGCCAGTGCAAAGATGGGCTATTTAGACAGCTGGACAGGTTTGCTTTTTGCTGTTCTGGTATTAAACTTGACTAAAGTCAGTAATAAAACTCAATAAAACTTGCTAAACTCAGAGAGGGGTATTTTTAGAGACCAGTGGAAAAGCCACAGCTATCATTGCACATGAGGAAAATCAAAGCCACCCAGATTCCTTATTCTTGGGACAAAGGCATAAGAAGTGCCTCCCCAGGCCACTACAGCACCTGCCAAGGCCAGCAGTGCCTGGCTGCACTGGTAGGATGAAAGGCAGCTGTCAGAGAGCTCATGAACCTGGCTGTGCTGTGCACCTCGTTCCCTGTGCCCCCAAGACCTGCCCTAGTTCCTTAGGGTGGTCTGCCACCCCTATTCCTCGCAGTACCTTTTCCAGAGGCTTCTTCCTTTGGCGCAGCTTGATCCTATCAGCCTCCAGTGTCCCAAGTCACCATTTTACCCTGTGAAATGTGCTTGACTGAGCTGAGTTGCCCCAGCTGACAGTACAGCCGCGGCTCTCGCAGCACGTCTGCATCCACCACTCGGTGGTTTTGCAGCTCTGGAGAGAAGTCCTCTCATGGCAGATGGCACTTGCTGGTCCCGTCTAGCTCACGAGACGTGCCCCTCTGCCTGCTTGCTTTCCGCGGGTCACATCACCTTGAAAAATCATTTTCTTCCCGAAACCCGTCTGAAATACCCTATATTGTTGTTATTTTTCCCGCGGCTGCAGCTGACGTCCCACACCGCGCTGCCCTCTCGCTCCGCCGCCCCGTCCCCGCCGCCGTCCCGGGGCCGGCCGGGCCCCGCCCCGCCCCGCCGGCACCGCCGCAGACCGGCCCGGCAGGAAGCGCGGGGTGGCGGCCACCGCAGGTATTCCCGGCTTTCCGCTCCGCCACTCCGGCCCCCCTCCCAAAATCCCCGACCGGCGAGCTGCTCGGATGCCCCCCCGCCCCAGCCGGGCGCTGGTTCAAGCGGTGCCAGGCTCAGGCCAGCCCCGTGCCAGGCTCCGGCCGCCGTCGCTGGTACCCCGTGCGGTGCAGCTGGGCTGGGAGCCGCTTCTGCGGCGCTGCTGGAGGCTCGGGGAGGGGCGGTGGGGGCTGCCTTGTGCTGATCGCACCAGCAGCTCCGGAAAGGTTTATGCAGGGTCCACCCTGATCCGTTTTTATTGGTGAGTCAGTGTCAAGGTAGTTTTCGGGTAAATGTATCTTTCAGACAGCTCCGCGGCAGCGACTGGTTCGAAGAAAACCTGGGACAGACGCTAGTTTTCTGTTGCTGTTGGATTTGTTGGAGGCTTGGTGGTGCTTGCAGCAATAGCTCTATGCCAGGAGACGGTGACTTCCAGGAGCTCCTCTCTACTTCCATTAAGGAGGTGAGGTCCTATCTAGAGGTCTTTGCAGCTCTGACATGATTCCTTATTACTTGGTTCTTAAACCTAATGCTTGCTAAATAACCTAAATTATATTACCTAAAATGCTTACTTGGTCCTGTTCATGGTGTGGAAACATGGACCATCACGCTAACGAGAAGCAGAAGTGTGATGGAATCTTCAGAGGATACAGAAGATACTTACACTGGTACTGACATAAAAGCCCCGGCATCTATTTGAGAAAGTTGAAAGTGTTTGTTTCTTTTGATATTTTCTTCGTGACAAGTAAAATTAACTTGGAAATGAAGTTTTTTTGTGTGTTTCAGAAGCTTAGTTCCTGTGACACCTTCTCAAGGAGTGCTTGTTGTCGGCATTTGTGAATGTTTTCAGTACCATGATCCACAGCGTCATGGGAGTGAACCAAAAGAATTTAAGTAGCTTTTCACAAAACGTGATTGATAGTTGTCTGTAAAGCTGATGTGGGAACAGGAGGGGGCAGCAATAAACACGATGTGCCGTAGTCAGCGCTAAACCCTCTTTCAGTCATGAGAACAAATTGTTCCTAAGAGCAGAGGAAAGAGATCAGCTTGGGAAACATCTCATTGTGCTCCATTGTATTATCTCATTGACATGTCATACAGTTGGATGTTGTGTTGAACAGTTTTGTGTCTGTAGTTGGATTCAGAGTAACTTAACACTGCAGCAGTTTATTTTCTCACATGTTTGCTTCAGCTATGTTAGTGCTTGGAACTGGAATTTCAAAAAATGCAAGAAGTTATTTATAGATACTTTTCTGGAGTGTTGTTAGCTTTCTTTATACAGGAGCTTTGGGTATCTGCAGTTTTAAGCAAAAAATCACACCTGTCATATGCTTAAGCACTTGAAAAAAATGCTTGGAAACATGGCAAAATTACCATCCTTACATAAAGAAAAAATTACCTGAATGTGGGCCTATACAGCTAGCTACAGCTTTTACATCTGAGAGAAAAGTTGAACTTGAGATTTACAAAGATCCCTTCCAGACTGAGTTTTATCTTTTCCTTTTATACTTCTGGGACACAGGTGGTTACTTTGGTCACTAAAACAATCAAGTCTCTTTTGCAACAATCACAGAATTACTTTCTCTGGTGCGTAATCTGTCATATGATTCCATCCTACTGGATGAAGAAGTAACACGTAATATGCAGGCATTTTAACAACTATAGTCAGCTGACACAAATTATTCATAAGGATGCTGCATAATGCTGGATTTTTCTCCAGAGGCCATGGTTTAAAATATTAGTTGGACATTCAGTGTGAATACCAGGACACACTCACGTGCCATCCCTTGACCTAACTGTGTGCCTACCCCCAGACCTTGTTATCTTGCCATGCTTTCTGCAGCTGTTCCTTAACATTAAGTACCAAATTCCCCAGTTATTGATACTGATTTGGTATGCCCACAGGCTGTAGTTATTTTTCACACAAGAGATTATGGCTGTTTCTTGGCTGCTAGTCCATCCTAGTTTAGGAATGAAAAAGGGAGAAAACAGGTATTAGAGGTCATCTGAGCAGAGGAGGGCAGGGAGCAATGACCAAAAGTAGAGTTGGAGATCTTGGCTGGGTAGTTTGAAAGCTGTGAAGTATTTTTTTTTGTCATGTGGCAGACCTGAGCTTGTTCCTTCCTTTTTTATTGTCTGCAGGTTCTATAAAAGTAATTATATAATTGGGATTGGCTTATTTACCTAGAGAATTTCCTGTTTCAATCTATTTCCTTAAAGAGATGAAGAAAGGACCAGAAAGTGGAGCATGTGCCCTTGCTGCTCCAGGTGATTTAGTGGAGTCAGATCCAGACATTAACAGCAGCAATGGAACCTCAGCAAGAGAGAAAGACACCCTTCCTTCTCCTGGAGAACAGGAAAATGTACCGCTGAAGAACAGCACAGAAACATCCAGAAAAAAACTTTGTGGCTATTTAAATAAGTTGGGCATCAAGGGGCCAATTAAGACGTGGAAGTCTCGCTGGTTCTTTTATGATGAAAACAAATGTCGCTTACTATACTACAGAACTGCCCAGGACATTAATCCCTTGGGGTCTATTGATCTCTCCAGCGCCAGCTTTGACTGCAAAATGGAAAATGGGGAAGGAATTTTTGAGATCAGAACACCAAGCAGAGCTTTTATTCTGAAGGTAATGAAAAATTCCCAGTCAGAAGAGACAAATCTGTACTAAGCTATCTCTTAGCTTGAGTTTCATCTAAGTCCTCCTAGCTTGGATTGCTAAATTGGATCTAAATTACTTGCATTGCTTTGGCAAGTCTGGGAGTCCTTACTTGTGAGATGGCTGTTTAACAGAGTAGGAATAAAAGCCTAACTGTGTGCTAAATTAAAGTAACTGAGGAGTCCCATAGTCCACATGTAATTTACTGAACAGAAATGAACTCCCCTGTCTAAAGTGGTTGCTCCAGGAGGATTCTTTGCGAGACTTACTTCTGTGTAAGTCATTGTTAAAAAGTTCTGGGGATGCTTTCTGTCTAAAATGGTTGTGACATTTCTGCTTAGTCTTGGAAAATAATAAACCAAAACACATTTAAAATTAGGTCAGTGGTCCACTGAGAAGGCCATATTGAAGATTTACTCTGTCCTCCCAAATCAGTGTTAGGACCAGAGGACACAGATACAGCATAGGCTGGATACAGCTGACCTTTTTTTCTGCTGACTTGTACAGGAGAGTGGTGGTCATCTCCTCAGGATGTGTCTTATGTTGATGAGATGATTCCACTCCCTTTCCTGTTTTGTGTTATGTTAGGCAATCAGCAAACAGGCAATGATGTACTGGCTGCAGCAGCTGCAAATGAGACGTTGGGAATTTTGCAACACTCAGAGCAGATTTCCTGTGGGCAGCTCACAGCTTGTGAATGAACCTCTGGCTGGAAGAACAAGTAGGTGTTGCACAGTCTTTCTTTTGCTTTCAGTCCCCTGGTGATGAATGGCGTTCCTCATGGAAGTGGGTAGAAGTTTTGGCCAGGCTTTTAAATGCAGGTGCCAGCTATCAGGGCTTTGCCAATGTTTGACAGTTCTGCCTTATTATGTATGGAAGTGAGTAAGCTGCCTCCTAATCCACAGCATATGTTTGGAGATTTTCAGGTGTCTTGTGATCATCTTAATTTTCCTCACACATGTGAAATGTGCACATTTGATATATCACTCTTGTAAGGCCTCTGATATTTAGAGCAAAGTGTTTTTCCAGCAGTGGGCTGAAGATGTCCATTCCAGAAGTGGTGGTAGACAGGTCAGTGGATCAGGGGATCCACTGTTACCTGTTTAGTAATGACTAGCTGTACATTTTGTTTGAAACAAATAATCCCCTCCCTAGTAAGTGTCTGCTCTAAAAGGTGCTGGCATCTTGCTACAGCAGGCAAAAATTTGGTAATAAACTGTGCTTGCAGAGTGTTATTCACACATTAGAACTATCAAATGTGGTTTGGAATGTGGGAAGAGGACAGCAAACTTCTCCTTCCTTATATCTTTGGGCAGTTAAAGTTCGATTGTTTAAGGTAGTAATGCTCATATATGGTTGAAATCACTTGATTGTCATTGAGTAAATAATTCTGTTTGTACATGGAAACGTATGTAATTTGACCTAAAATTAAGGAAGCGTATTCTACTGTCCTTGTTCCACCTGACCACTTGAACATGTAACGTATACCTGTAGTAAACTGTTGTGGCTGTCTGGTTACATGAAGGACCCAAAGTCCAATGGAATTCTGCCTTGCTTATTTGCTTTTATGTCTGATTTCGTTTTTACATTTATAGATGTAGTTGACAATGAAGACTTTCTGCCTCTTGTGAAAACACCAACAGAAGCAGTGGGTTTAAAGGCAGCATCTTTGCCTGCACCCCAAACGTCTACTGCCTTGCAGAACATCTCCCTTAAGCACCCATGGACAGAGATACAGTAAGTGCATGAAGAGAACTGCAGTGCAATTGACATGCTGGCCTGACAGTGTGTGCCTTCTTTGCTTACCATGTATTGTGTGAAACGGGACTCTTGCCTAGGTGGGAGAAATGTGAAGCACCTTTTTGGAGGCTAGTCCAAGCCAAAGTAAACTTCCTGCAGGTGGGTCTTTCACATCCTCCTGTTCTGATGCATTTCACATAATCTAGCTTTCTTAGCAAAGATCCTGGTAGCAGACCTAGGACTTGGTTAAGATCTCTTCATTGTGCTTTGCATACCTAGAGTGTGACACATCTGCAAAGCAGTCTTGCAGAACAGTCTTGGAAGAGCACATGGTCAGGTTCAGCTGTACTCAGTAGGTAGTCATAGAAGCTCATTAGCTCTTTCCACTGGTTTCAATGGACCCCTTGAATGTAGTGTATTCTTCAAAGCAAGAACAACAGGGAAAAGAAGCTTGAGCCAGTAACATGGCCTAGCTGCGCAACTCACTCTTGCCCGTTGAGTTTGTTAATATTCCTACTGCCAGCTTCTATCTGCTGTTGCAGTGGGTAGCCCCATCAGGTTAAAAGCTACAAGTCTTGGGCAGTTACAGTTTCACAAAGACAGCCTCATCAGCATCTCCATAAGTGTTTCCTAGTCACTTATTTACACATAATGAAATTGGGTAACTGGCCATAGATATGGTAGGCAGCCAGGCACCTGCCAAATATTGTTGGTGTGGAAGTTGCCTGTAGATTTTTTACCACCACTGCTGCAGCTACAATCTGATGCTCATATGAAGAAAGATCCCCCATGAGACCAGGGTTTTGTGTTAGCAGCTTCATTCGCAATTAGGAAAGCAGCAGACACTGAGTCTTTTATAGGCTTTTTATAGACAAAACAAGAGACTTGTTTAGTTTTGGCTGATGGACAACAAAGGAGGAGAAAGAAAAGACCTGTATGCATATTTTTTGGAACAGGTTTTACACCAACTGTTTACACATTTTACATTTGTAGTTCCTCAAAGTCAGCTGTTCTATTTTTCAGGCTATGCATTCTCTCCTACTCACACTGATTGAAAATAACTCAGGCGTGTCTTTGGCCCCTGCTCCCATGCTTTGCTTTAGTGAGCTTGAGTAACAATTGTCTCTTTCCAGCGTTAAGTTGTATTGCTCCCCTTGTTCAGTAAACATTTCTCCAGGCTCTATCACTGTCAGGCTGTAGCACATCTAGATCCCTGAGCTGCTATAGTCTCATGGGGAAAACAGTGCCACATTAGGTATAGAAAAGTAGGAAAATTGCATTGGATGAGTACTAACTATAGACTACAGGGACTGAAGGACTGCTAGTCTTACACAGCAGTATGTTCTCCAAGGTAAGCAGTGTCTGCTCTTCTGCCCTGGAGTCTTATAGTAGCAAGGAAAAATTATAATAGTATCTAAATGGCAGCTTCATCTACATTTAGGAAAGCAGTGAACACTGAGTCTTTTATAGATTTCAAAACAAGGGACTTGTTTTGTTTTAGCTGAAGGACAGCACAGGAGAAGAAGAAAACTACTTGTATACATACTTTCTGGTACAGGTTTTACATGAACTACATTTGTAGTTCCCCACGATTCTATAAAGATATCTTTTAGTGCTTCTGGCAATATCTGATAGCAGCAGTTGTAGCAAACAGTTCCCGGGTCTGACTGCAGACCTGCTCCTGAAACTCTTTACTACATTTTAGCTTACGACTTTGTAAATAACTTTTGGCAAGGTTATTTATTAAATGTTTCAGAGCACAGGACCTGTGGCTGCTTCAGATGTGATCATTTGTCCCAGTTTTGGCTGTGTTGTAGGTAAATGAGCTTCTCTTGTCAGCTTTTCTTGGCACCTGGGGATTTCTGCAGTGAGCTAAGGGTAGGGATGACTAAAGGAAGCAAAGGAGAGGGAGAGGGAATGAGGAGGAAGGGGAAGGAGAAAGGACAGGGAAGAATGTGGTTGGTCTACTGTTACATTTGATCACTCTCTTTGGTCTGATGTTTTTATGTATAGGGCTCAAGCACATGGGGAAAGATTATCTCATTTTACATTGGTGTACTGTACTGATTTTGTGGCATCTTCCTGGTTTACACCAGGTACAACCTTTCTCTCCTCAAATCCACCAGTTCTATAAAGAGTTCATTTTCTCAGCACATGAAGGAGATAAGTTTTGGGAGGAGGGGTAGGAAGTAAGGGGAGGTAAGGCATTGAATATTTTGAATATGCACTGGCTGGCTGCAGTGATTATGACTTCTGTTCACTAGGCTGTCTTGATCTCTTCTTGTTTCAGAAACACTGTCTACAATATCTGTGGCTCCAGGCAGCTCTGGGGGAACAACGGGAATGTCTTTAGATTTGATGAATTCCAAGAGCATCCTGAGAATGTGGATGAGGAGCAAGAGGCAGAAATGGAGACAGGATGCCCAGGTGATTACTGAGCTGTGTGAGTTGAATGGGATGCCTTCTAGCAGGGATTAGCAGGAAATGTAAAGCAGACAGTGGCAAATTTTCAAGGGATATGAAAACAGTTACATTGTCTTAAGTCTCTTCCTGTGTTCCCACAAGACCTGACTCTTTCGGATCTGTTCGGGATCCATCTGTCTGTATCTTCTACCACTGAAACCTTCTGCAGAGGCAAAAAAAAAAATTAAATAAAAGTAAAATCCACCAGATTTATTTCTTTGAGGTAAAAGTATAATTGCTGCACAGTCACAGGCTGAGTGTGGCAGCTCCACTGCATGCATACCTTTCCATGGTGGTAACTTCCATTTGCTGTGGGCCAGATTGATGAGCAAGGTGCAAGATGGGCTAACAGGTACCATCAACCATCACAATTTTGTTTATTGTGGGCATATCAATATCTTATCCCTACTGTTTTGGCTACAATCCTGTGGGTCAATTTTCCATATCCGGTATCCATGTCCTGTCTGCCTTCTCTGTGGAACTGTTGTAAGTCCCTATAGCAAGACTTGGGAGTCCATAGTAGCAAAGCAATTCTGTGTAAATTAAATCTCTCTCCCCTCAGTTAAGGAGGGGACCCTGGAAGATGGGAGGATGGGGCCCAGGCTGAACTGGATCAGGAGAGCCAGGTGGATGAACAGTGGCTTCCTAGGCTCTGAAGAATTGTCAAGGGAGAAGAACTCAGTGGATAAAGTGAGTGTCCTTCAGCAACAGATTCTGACGCTCACAGAGGAAGTCAAGTCACAGAAGGTGAGTGTGGTAAAGAGACTGCTATTTCAAAGGGTCAGGATCCTGAGGCTGGTCACAGGGACTCCCTTACACATTGTGTGTGAGAAGTGCCCAGCAGGCAGTAACTGGAGACCACTTGAAGCTCCTGGTGTTACCACCTTGTGTATGCCAGAGTGTGCTCAGCACAAAAGAAGACCTTCAGCCATTTCTAGGAAGTGCGGCAAGGTGTAAGAGAGAGGTAAAACAAATCCAAGTGTACTCTGCTGTTGTCTTGCTTGTGCATCTCTATTGCTCACCAAGTACAGTCCTGAATGGGTACTATGACACTGGTGAGAACTGCCAGTGGGGTCCTGGTGTTAACAGCAGGTCATTCTTTTTGAACAGTGACCCACATTTAAGGTGTGATTTGACTCTAGAAGTCAGGACATGGGTCACTGCAAGGGCTGTCTCCCATGAATGACACTGTTCTTCAAAGCATGGAGCAATGCCAGGTTCTCTGCTAATGATGCTGGTTGCTCTCCCAAGAGGCAGCAGAGCCAAGTTCCATGTTGGGCAGTCAGTTGCACCCTTGATTTGCTTTCTGAAGTGTCTGAGATGGCAGAGCCTGAATCAACAACGTGCTGCGGGGCAAGGTTCCATGCCTTCATGAAGGATAGAGTGAGGGAGGGCTCTGGCAGAAGGAAAGTTAAAATGGATACTGCAGTTTCCTTCTGGTAGCACAGGTAGTTGCAGACTGCATTATTTCCCTCCTATTTTACCACACTGCTGACCAGACCTCCATGTTCTCTGCTGGGCATCCCAAGAATGATTGTAGGAAAGCCAGAGTTCAGTGTGGGCAGCAGCTTTTCTGCTAGCAATCCATGCCAAGTCATCTGTGAACTGCTGCAGAGACCTTTCAGGCCCAGCTCTGAGAGCAGAACTTCTCACTGTGGTGTCATGGTGGTTTCAAGATTTCTTCATTGTTTTCCTTCTTAAAGGAGTCAATTTCAAGATATTTCACTGTTGGGTCTTTGCTGTCCATACTGCCATTGCCCTGGACAGCACAGTGATGTGATGGTTTTGCATTCTCTTTCCAGGAATTGGTCAAACTTCTCCACAAAGCTCTGGAGGCAGCCCAGCAGGAGAAGCGAGTATCTAGCATGTATCTCACTGCAGCAGAAGATAAGGACAGGCTGGAGCTGGTGCGCCACAAAGTGAGACAAATTGCAGATCTGACAAGTCGACTGGAAGCTCTTGAACAAGAAAAGAAGGAACTGGAGCAGATACTGACTTTGAGAGACAGCCATATCCAGGAGCTCAAGGAACATGTGCAGCTTCTGATGGAGAAGAACCATGCCAAACAGGAAGTCATCATGACCTTGACAGAGCAGATGGCTCGAGAGCTCTCTGACCCCCTGCAAGAAGCCAACACTATCACTGTAGAGACATTGTATAAGCAGCAGGAGGAGATTGAGCATCTGAAGGTGTGTGAGATGGCACAGGTCTTTTGGGCCCGTTTTTATGCCTTTAGGTTCAGTGGGAGGGTGTTCTTTGCGGTAAACACAGAATATAGTTCGGTTGGTCGCTACTTTCTTTTCTTTCTTTTTTTTTTCTTTTGTTTCACCGCTGCAGCCTGACTTGCTGCCTTCACTTTGTTGCTCTATGTTGCCGTCTTGCAAACCGTTTCCCAATACATCCTGGTTCTTTCAGATGCACGCTGTTTTATGTGCACAGCTGTAATTACGGGTTGGTGTGAGGTGAAGAATTGCTGAAAGAGCCACTTTCTGTGGAGAGTGTTGATTTTTCCTGCCAGCCATGGGGATGAGATTTGTTTCATTAAAAAAAAAAAAAAAAAAAAAAGAAAGAAAAGAAAACAACCAAAATTAAACCAATCAACCAAACAAAACACATATATTCTTAATATTATTTAAGTGCATCCCTGGCATTATATGATCTGTATCTCTCTGTGGTTTTTAATATATATGTATACATTTAGCATTTTCCCAATCTTGTTGATGCATGGCAATATTGTTTGTGCCTTGATTTCCTTTGTAGGCAACATTTATACTGGGGAGTCCTGTCTGCTCCTCAGAATACAGAATTTTTGAGATATTTTATTAACATAACATAACCTGAAATGGGAGGGATTTCAAGCCTCTCAAGAACTCTCCTTATGTGACTGTTTTGCTTCATGGCAGGATGATATTGATGCATACAAAACCCAGAACCAGTTTCTCAATTCAGAGATCCACCAAGTTACTCGACTCTGGACAAGTGTTGCTGAGAATGAAAAGGCCCTTCTGATGAAGGTAAGGTCAAATGACCTTTTTTGCTTGGTGTGAACTGTTACTAATTTATTTTCAAAGTTGACACTGCAATAGATTTTGATCTGCAAGGAATAATCTTTCTTGTGTTTTTTCTTAGTGTGACCTCTTTACTGCTTTGTGTTGTTCCCAAATTAGACACGATCATTTTAATTCTTCAACAGAAGTAAAATACCCGCAAAGAGCAGTCTTAAAAGTGCTAACCCAGATTTCTGTATTTCAGCTATGCAAATAAAAAAAGCAACACTGTGTAGGCAATCAGAAAAGTTTCCTGAGAGCTGACAGACTGAGTCCTGGCTCCATCTAGTCATGGTTTCTCTGCTGGACTTGGCACTGCCAGGTGGCAGCACACTTGAAGTCCTGCAGTTAGATCAGAATTCTTCTATTTTCCTAAGTTGTATTTTTATTCCTAGCTGTGTAAGTGTGAAAAACCGGGTTAGTATCCGACTTGTCTAATCCTATTTTCTGATCCTGAACCACTTTCAAGGCTGGAGGTGTGTCCTGGCATTTGTTCTGTGGATTTTGCCTAGGATTTACTTCCCTGGATTTTAAGGTATTGCTGTGAATGAGTATCTTAGGTTGCTTAAAAAGTCACTGGAAAAGGTTAGGCAAAGCAGGTTCAATATCTAAGTGGAAGAGTGGCAAAGCTCATTGCCAAGGTTTACTCTACTAGTTACTAGATGGTTAAAGCACACAAAAATAGTACTAAAAATACTACTAAAACCTATAATCAGTCCATTAAAACTAAAATCAATTAGAAATCTACATGGAAGCTGGGGATGGAAAAGGGATGGGAAAGCTTTAGCATAAAAGGAATAAAGGAGGCCCTCCCATCAAGCACAAGGTTCAGTGTGGACTTCTGTGCAAAACTTACCTCTGGACTTGAAGAAGTTTGGGCCTAAATATTTCAACAGCACTTAAACAATGACTGAATTTAAACAATTTACAAAAGATTCTGTGGAATTTACTGCAATCACAACAATAACTCACTTTTAGGCCTAAGTTACTTACCAACCTAAAATAATTAAGAATCTAAGATTCCAGGTACATTCTCTGTAGCACATTCACTCAGACCTAGAGTACATACGAGGTACCTGTGAGAATTCTCCCTTGAGCTCAGTGAAGTGCTCATGTCTAGATCTTCTCAACAGGCAAAGGTGTGAGCCTCGAGGAGGGGGATTATTGGCCCAGGCTTTGTCATCACTGTTTGGCAGTGGTCCCTCAAGTACAGCAAATCTGAGAGTTCTCTGAGAAGCCCCAGTCAAAGGGAGGTTGCTGGTCACAGCCCAGTGTGGTCCAGGAGAGCTCAAAGGGTTTCACTTAGGATGCTGCTTATAGGTTCACAAGAGAATTTGCCTTAGTCATAGTAATTTGCCATCCTGTCTGCAATTGGTAACTTTTGAAAATTTGATGACAAAAATGTTCTTCCACTTGAGTTTACAAGAAAGGTAAGCTTCCAATTGTGTTAGTTAGCACCAATTCCTGGGAGCAGGCAATATTTCTGATAAGCACAGGAGATTAACCCAGGTGCTGTTCATCAAGCTGAGGCCTAACAAGCATTTCTGAGATCATAGTATGGCCTTAGGAGGGGGAGTGCACCACCACAGGTATGTCTTCACAATCATGGATTCTGGGACAGGGCAAAAAGCTGCTTCTGGAGTGTTATTATCATTTTTACATCTGTTTGCTTTCTAGTTCTTTGAAACCCTGCCTTCCTCCTAATTTACTGCCCTCTCATCCTGAGACTGCCATAGCCTTCAAAAAGGAAGTAATCATACAAGCCCAACATGCTGAGTGTGAGGCAAAATGCTAATTAAAGTGGTAGTATGGAAGAAACCATGCTCCTGTCTGTCCCCTCTATATGCAGCCTAATTCTCTCTGTGGTTTCTGTTTTGTTCTTGCTTTCAACTTCGGCTTTCCACTGAATAGGAGTCTTCACTGAGCTTCCTGTGAGACACTGGGTGAGTCTTGTCACCTGTGTGGCCTCAGTTCCGCACTTGTGGAGTACACTAATAATCCTTATTAATTTTTTCTGCTTTCTGTGCCCAGGACTAAGGTGGTGGCAGGTACTGTCCTGCTGTTTGATCTCAGTTGGGCTTCCAGTGCATGAGAAATTACATGTACCAGTGCCATGGGGCTGGGGATGCTGAGGGGCATGTGGTCACCCAGTCTGTGGTGCTACCATGTATCCTGAAAATGGACTTATAGCTCAGTCTCTGTAGCGGTATGTTTTATCAGGATACAGCTGAATGTGGTGTAGAGAACTTGTCTGAGGATGACAGAAAAAGATTGCAGAGAACTCAGATGCAGTGCTGGCTCTTTGACTGTGTCCTTAGTTGAGCTGATGGTGTGCAGCCATCCACCGATGCAATGCAGTAGTTAAAGCAGGTCATGATGTAGTAGGTCTCCCATTCAATAAGCAACCACTGTTGCATGCTAGCTACTGAAGCTTGTGCTTGTTCATAGACCGTGGTGATTCATTTATAGCTGCAGTTCCACTGGTTGTAGAAAACTACTGAATGTGTTTCCTGGGGCTTTGCTCTTCAGAAGTCTTGTCTTTATGTGCAGACCAGACCAGTAGAGAGCAGTGGCAACGCAGGAAGGACTGCCACTGAGCAAGCTCTTTCCTTCTTGTTTACCCATCAGTGTGCCTGCCTGCAAGCAAGAAACTGCCAGATGGAGAGCAAATACCTGACAGTCTTAAGAAAGCTGCAGGAGGCTGTGCCTGGCCTGCCCAGCTCGCATGCTGAATTGGTGAAGAACCTCATCCAGGAAGCTCTACAGTGGGATGTGAAGGAAGAAGCAGAAGAAAGTTTTAACTTGAATCCTGTAAGGTAAGAGTTGAGAGCATGGGGATATCCACAGCTTTGTAGAAGCTTGTCTGCAAAGGGAAGATACATTTAAGAACATTTTATAGCAGGGGCCTACATTTGTATTTATGCCTTCCTGCACATTCAGGGCCCCTGTTCTGTAGCAGTTCCCATTTTATGTTTTGTCAGTCTTGCAGGTTCTCCAGGTAGCTCTGGAAATGAGACCTCCTAGGCCAGGCTTGGTCTCTGTCAAGAATACAATGGTGTCTTACAGGTTTCCCACCCTGTGGCCACATGGTGTACAAATCTTTGAGAAGCTGTACTATTTGTAGTCTTGCTGTGTTCTGATCAGTAAGATATTTGCATTGTGTACAAGGAAACATCAGAAGGGACTGTGGATCTCTGTTCTTAGATCTGACGCCCCAAAGCCTTTCCAGTCCACTCCTACAGGACTGTCTCTACATTGGGACAGGGTAGGGAGAAGGTACACAGGGTGAGCTCAGTATTTCTTTAGGGACTGATGAGGGGTCTGATGAGGTTGGTCTGCAGCTCAGAGCAAAGTTACACTTGAGTTGGTGTGTGTATGCCAGTGCTGCAGGCTCTCATTTGTCTTCACGGCTCTGAGGTAGGCTGTATCACATGCAGCTGCCAGAGAAGGGAGGGAGAACTGTTGCAAACAAGTGTTTGAGATAATTTTTAAAAAATCATTAGCAAGGGTATCAGCAAAACACAGATTTAATATTAAGCGACAGCACGACAAAGTGAAGTTGAGGCCTATGAGCATTTCTCAGATCTCAGTGCAGCCTGGAAAGGGGGGAGGGTGGGGGGGTGTACGCTCACAAGTTCTTGTGCTCTGGTATGGGTGATGTGAGCCTGGCAGCAGGCTGTAGCTGGCATGACCCCAAGCAGTAAGTGTCCTTGGAACAGGTAGCAGCACTGTCATTTGAACTAAACACTGCCTTGTGTCCCTCCAGCGAGTATGATGAGTATGGGTTTATGACTGTACCTGACTATGAAATTGAGGACTGGAAACTCCTGGCCAAAATCCAAGCCCTTGAGATAAAGTCCAACAAACTGCGGAGCCAGGAAATAGTGGAGAAGCCCCTCCGTGACAGATGGAACAGCATTGGAGAGCTGAACCCCTCTGCAGAGCTGAAGAATCTGATCCGAAGTGGCATTCCAGTGGAGCATCGGCAGCGGGTGTGGAGCTGGATGGTCAGCCGGCACTGCAGCCGGGTGCCTGGCCACTACCAGCGGCTGCTGGAGCAGAGCAGGAGCACTGAGCACCCTGCCTGCCGGCAGATTGAGCTTGACCTGCCCCGCACACTGACCAACAACAAGCATTTTTCCTCTCCCACCTCACAGCTCATCCCCAAGCTCCGGAGGATGCTATTGGCATTCTCCTGGCACAATCCTGCCATTGGATACTGCCAGGGATTGAACAGGTGAGGAGCGAGGTATGCTGCTTCTTCATGAGATGGCACTGAAAAGTTGTAGACACATAACTCTAGGCTGTGATTCAAGTAGCCTCAGGCTCTTGCCTCTCTACAGTTCTGTCCTAGCTCTAGGTATTTACTTGCAGAATTCTGCATTTGGTGACTTATTTTTCATCCATTGTTTTTACTGGGATCCAGCAAGCAGCAGGATGCACTTTTGTGGCATCTCTATAGTTACAGAATAGGAAAGAACAGCTATAGGAGGAAGAGTGAAGCAGTCCCAGAATAACACCACAAGGCTGGGGCTGAATTTTGAAGTAGTAATGTAAAGTAGTAAAGTAGAAGAACACCCTGGTGATTCCCTTTTTTGCTGAGAACAGTTGGAGGAAATGTTGGGAAGTGTTAACATGCGAGGGAGTTGCAGCAAATTACACAAAGAAAGACTGAGGAAACCACAGTTGTTCTGTCTGGAAAAGAGAAGATTCAGAGAATATAGAAGCTTCTTTCACTTCCCAAGGCAGGCTGTAGGAAGGGCGAACCTAAGTTTCTTAGAATTGTGCTGCAAAGTAGAAAGGCAGTAGGCATTTGCTGTATGAAGTGAATTTCTAGTTGGACCTTTTCATGTGAGGAAGGTCTGTGTAAGCTATTTATTCCTGATGATTTTTGGATGGTCTTCTGAAACGGTAGAAGCTTTCCTCCAGAGAGCCTTCAATTTAATATAAGGTATCATTTTTCTAGTCTGTCTAAAAAGCAGTAAGTCAGAGCTGAAGGAGGTCAGGGCTGTAAAAGAATGTATGGAGAGAGGAACTATACCACATAATATGGAGTGACCTCTTTCCTCTGCTGAAATAGCCCAAATCAGCACACTACTAACTTCAGCAGATCTACAGAACATTCCATTAGCTGGGAAACCTGGCTTTGTCACATGGAACATATGGAACACCAGTTCCATATGTTCCAGCAGGGCCATGTGGGAAAGAAAATCACATCCCTTTTGTTCCTTCAGAAACAGATCACCTGCCTCTGTCTGGCTGTCCTACCACATTTGATATTTTGGATGCTGATGGAGCTGGAGACATGCAAAAACACATTTGTATTCCTCAATTCCTGTGTTGATGACTCCTTCTGCAGTATTGAATTCCTTCACCATGTCTTGTCCATCACAGATTGGCAGCTGTTGCTCTTCTGGTCCTAGAAGATGAGGAAAGTGCTTTCTGGTGTCTAGTCTATATTGTGGAGAACCTAATGCCGGCAGACTACTACAGTGACACACTAATAACGTCACAGGTGAGCTGAACACCCTCACATCTGCTTGGACTCTCATACAGTGATTTCCAGTAAAGATTTAAAAGTGAATAGTCAAGCTGCTGTGCATTTAGTTTCTCACAGGACAGTGATACCACCTTGCAATCCCTTCCATTGCAGAGGTATTGGAGATTTGAGTGTACAAAATTGTTACACTCACAGGAGCAGCACACACAGCGTAGCAAAATTGGCCACCACTACCCCTGAGTCATAACATGAAAGTCAGGTTAGTCAAAAGGAAAGTGCCCATTAATTGCACAGTTACTTATTTTAAAGAAGTCTTAATAGAGGCACAGTAGCAAATTCTGGTATGTGTAGACTGAGTATGAGGAAGGCATTATTTTACAGCCCTTCAGATGATGTTTTTGAAGCTTCACTCTATCTTTGGAGTGCCATGTACATGTGGATGAAAATGGTGAGATTTTTATATTCACTGTATTTGCCTTAGTTCATGGTCAAGCATGGTGTTAGTTTGCACTATGGGGCTCTCTGGACATCAGAAAAGATTCTGACCTTTTGATGTCAAATGTTATGCTGTGAATAACTTACCCACCTGATTCAAAATCACTGCATTTCAGGTTTTCAGTGTGTCTTGTGTCAGATATACTATGTACTCCCAGCAGACAAAGAGATAAGGTAACTCCCATGTAGTTTATTGGAATTGTAATGTGTGCCCATATCACCCACACCCATCAGTGGCCAGTCTGGTAAGCCTGGCTGTCACCTTGGTGTCTCTGTTCTGTGTGGCCCTTTCATGGTTTTATCTCTGGGCCCACAATAGAGGAAGCCTCAAGGGTCAGTAGATGAGGGTCACTGATGATGCCAGTGAATTTATTGACTAACATTTACTGGGACAGTGGTGTGGTGGTGGAGAGGCCAACACACAGACTGGGGAAACAGTCTAATCACTTTGAAGACAGCAAAATGCCTATTCAGAGGAGGTTGTGTTAGCTGTGGGATTTAATACACAGCGCTCAGTAGTCTCAAATCTCATGTAGAGACTGACAGGGAAAATATGACAGACTGAAGAGGCTTGCCTATATTTGGTGAGAAAATGCTGTCAGCTGGAAGTCTTCTTTAGAAAGAATTTTTGACCTCATGGCTGGTATCTGAAAGTCTAACCAAGATCTGCGTAAAGAGGAACATCTAAGGTGATGTTTTGTGGGTTGGCTTGATAAAGTGAGTTGGCTGGGAAACTTAAAATTTCAAATGTTGAAGACAAAGCATATTACCTGTATGGTTTTTACCCGTGCTACAGCTAAGTGGGCTGGCACAGCTGAGGCATTAATATGATATGGCAGAGGGAAGCCCTAAACATGATCCTGTTCTTTAGCACTTACCCTCCAGAAAGCATGGCTCTGCTGAGATGAAACCTTTATAAACCTGGATCAAGGATCTTGCTGACTGAATTTCTGTGTTTTGGCTCATGCAACCAGAAGCAAAGCACAGACAGTATTCAGACAACAAAGAGAAGCTGGCATGAGAAGATCAAGTTGTGTTTACAAAGTCAGAGGTATGCAAGGTGTTCAGTCTGTTAGGCCATGTAGAGTCATTCAGACCTGGGCAGATTTTAATGCCTGTCATTCAATTGGATGCTTGTGGTATCACAGAAAATCCTGGTAAGACCAGTGCAGGAAGATGTGCCAGATTTTCCCTCTTGACTCTGAGACTGGGAAGGAATCATATTGGTTAGAAGAATATATGTTTCTCCTGACCTTGTTTCAGCTCCATGCCTTGCACTTGATGCCACATACAAGTGCACTGCTCAGTGAATTTGAAGGGTTGGGTGACAGTGGATGCTCTGCAATTCCTAGGGTGTGATTCTCTAGAAGGCAGCACCAGTGATGACCCTGACATGCAAAGGCCATTGTCCTGTTGCACTGCTCCTCTCCTCCAACAGCAGGACTGCTTTTGACTAGGACTTCATTGTTTTCTTTTTTGTCAATTTTAGGTAGATCAGAGAGTCTTCAAAGACTTCCTGTCTGAGAAGCTGCCTCGCCTCATGGCTCATTTTGAGCAGTATCAGATTGATGTCTCACTCATCACCTTCAACTGGTTTCTGGTGGCCTTTGTGGACAGCCTGGTCAGCGACATCCTCCTGCGAGTGTGGGATGCCTTCTTATATGAGGGAACCAAGGTGCAACTCTCCATCTAGGCCTTCCTCCCATCTATACCACCTCTGTGGTATAGTGACAGGGTGATGGGCATACACATCTGTCAAAGATATATAAGGTTTTATAATTTGTCCTATCCTGCCACTTTGGTGGCATGCCTTGATGACTCCAAGCTCCTGTTTTCTATGTACTTGCTGCTAGTAGGCTGACCTAGTCCCTGATTCTGTGCACTTGGTACTTTTTTGTGGGTAGTTGTGCTACAAAACATCTCTCTGATAGGCCATGGTGTCTCCTGCTCTGTGACACAATTGAGAGTATTGCAGATACAGGGGACATAAGACAGGCAGTATCTGAAAAAGTGAGTCCTGCATTGTCCCTGTGCATAGGGAGAGCTGGAGAAATCTTATGGGGTCCTTTTGTAGAGCCTGGTATTCTCTGGGGTTGCAAATTAGCTAACAGATGGTTATTCTCTTTGAGATTAGCTCTGTACTCCTTTAGGCCTGCCCTGGTACAGACTATTAAGAGCAGGAGTACAGACTGTATCTAGTCTGTATTGTAGTGCTGTGTGCCCAACACCATCTTTTATACCAGGATGGCCTGGACCTTCAGTTCCTTTAAAACTTTATCCACTCAAATATCTTTCAACCCTCCAGGTCATTTTCCGCTATGCTCTTGCAATTTTTAAATACAACGAGGAGGAAATCCTAAGAATTCATGACAGTGTGGAGATCTACCAGTACCTACGGTTTTTCACAAGGATGATCACGGATGGCAGGTAGGACTCTGAGTTGTAGACAAGCTCCCATTGTGTATTTGTACTTGCTTGCCTGTTAGGTCAGCTTAACAAGAGTTGTGATTAGTTTATTAAGAGAGATGCATATGCATTGATAGGTCTGTGGGACATGGATCCATTTGTCTCTTTTTGACTTTGCCTTCATGGTGTTACTTAAAATCTTTTTGGCTTGGAAAAGGCATGCTACAGCAGAGCAAGCAACAAAGTGTGGGTCAGCCTTCTTGTAGCAGCTGATACTTGTGCTACTGATTTCTGGAATTCTCTCAGCTGTATTTGGGGTTTGGGAACACAGCATAACCCATGACCTTGAATGACAAAATGTGTCTGAGATGAAGATTTCTGTGAGCAGAAGACCCAACATCAGGAATATTCCTCCCTGACAGGCCATCAGAATTGGCACCTGATCCATTGTCTCCTAAATGATGCTGCACACTGGTACCTTAAAAGGTGGGATGGTATAAGTGTATGTGAAGTACTGCTTGGGTTGGTGTTGGTGTGGGGAATAATTCCTTTAAGACTGCTGTTTGGTGACTTCTAGGGTCATAGAGCTGAAGTCTGACCTACTCTTTAATACCCCAGAATGCTCTTGATGTATCTGTTACCATGTGTTACCAGCCAGTAAAGAAGTTGACTGGAGCTGTCCTTTCTATCGTAGGAAGCTGATGAACATTGCCTTCAATGACTTAAACCCCTTCCCCATGAAACTGCTGAGGAACCGCCGGTCAACGCACAGGGAAGAGCTGGAGGCAGAGCTGTGCGAACTCGAACAGATCAAGGCAGCCTATGTGAAAGAGAGAGCAGAGCAGAGACCTCAGGACCCGAAGGAGGTTGCTAGTGAAGAGGAAGAAGAGAGCTAACAAAAAGAGAATTTGTCACCACTTCCCTCCCATCTTGCAGAAGGTCATCAGTAGCAACTGTCAGTAAGAAATGGACCAGAGAGCGAAGTGTGGTCACAGGAGTTCATCTGCCCCAGTAAGCAAGGCTGTAGTTATGGGACCTTTAGGAGAACAAGTCAGACTTTGTAATAGATGAGAAGGTGTCAGAGGCGTTTTATACTCTTTTGTTCTTCTCCCCATTTAGCCCATCCTGTCCTGTGCAGTTCAGGATTACAGCTGAGGGTGCAGAGGAAATACCAGTTGTGGTGTCATGACAGGAACTGACAAGGTGCAAAAGACCCAGCCAAGCAGGGCTTTTATACATTTTCTGATAGTGGCTTGAATTAGATCTTTATCTACGAGTAAAACCTCCAGAAATAATGAATTGAACACACTCCCTCATTGTAACCTAAAGCTTCTGAATTGGTCAGGAAAAAGCCTTCTCTTAGAGGGCATGGTGCCTTCAGGGTCTAGCCTGCCATGTCTGTGTGTGTTTAACATTGTTACTGATGAAGACACTGTCTCCAGATGAGTGTTGGGTCTGTGGGGGTTCTGAAAGCTGAAGGACATCATCCCATGGGGCTCAGGCTGGGACAAGGAAACAGATTGTGGGAGAGTGAAACTGCTTCTCCAGTTTGGTTCCTGTAGGAAGTTCACGGGAGCACAAGGTGTGTCTCCTGCTTGGCTGGGAAATGTTTAGCTTTGAGGCCCTGGCATCACTTTGTGCTGGTGAGTTTGCTCCATGGAGAAACTCTTATCTCTGTATGAAACCAACCACAGCCTGCCTGCAGGCAGGGCCCAGTGTTATGTGGACTTCTACTGGGGATGATAGGGTTTTCTGATAGCCTCATTTCTGGCCATCTCTCTGCCCCACAGTTACAGTCCTCCTGTGCTGGGTTTTTACACTGATATCCCTCTCTCTGACTCCCATTCATTATGGAAGAGACAAGGGCTTTTCTGTAGTTTATGATATTGAAATGATATTGTTTTATCCATGGCATATGGCTGGGAACAAAGTCACAAAAGATGACTTGATACTCTTTAGAAAAAAAAATTAACGTCCCCTGAACCAAGGAGCTGGGCTCCATGGGTCTAGCACACAGAGATGTCCTATCTGCCTCTGGGAATGGGGTCTGATAGCCTTCTGCCCTGCCTCCCAGGCTTGTCCCTTCCCTGGGCTAGGTGTGCTGCCTGTGCAGCTCAGCTCTCCACAGATCCAGGATGAGTTAAGTATTTAGATAAATACAACTTCTTTTCCTATCTTTGCCAGCTCCTGCTGACCCACTTTCCTGCTGAGTGGTGCATTACTCCAGGTGTGCCTGCACTGACAGTATGCAGCAGACCCTCCTATAAGGGGGGCTCTGCTCTATGCTTTTAGACTGACCTTTAACCCTTTAAACATCTTGTGGTTGATAACCCAACCCTTCAAGTTTTCAGTGCTTGCAGAGGAAGGAATTTCCTCAAAATTTTGGAGAAAAATTCACAGTGTTCTCAGCCCCATGGGCTGTAGCCAAGATAACAGACTCTAAGGGAAACAGTGCCTATTCACCTGAGACATGTGGTCTGCTCACTGGACAAGTCAGCCAATTTCAATGAATTACAGAAGACTGGGATGGGAGAGACCTGTGGAGGCAAACCACACAGCAGAGAAGTAATCAAAGTGGAAGTGGTGTTTTGGGAAGAGTGGATTGATTGCCTGAGTGTCAATTAGAGCTGCACACATTGAAAGTGTGGGATGAGAAGAAAATGTTACTGGAATCCTACTGTAATATCTCAAAAAAATGAACTCATTTTAAAACTATGCCACCTAGATAGGGAAGTATAAAAGACAGAAGGTTTTTCTTCATAGAGGATATTGCTAATCTAATTTATTTATACTCTTATGTTGATAGGTGCACACAAAGTTTTGCTATTGTTACAGACATTATCTTCTAAATCAAGACCATGAAAATTAGAAGTTTACTTACAATTTTATTTCATAGAGCTTTCTGCAATAGCTTAAAAAGCTTTCCTCCTGACTTGCCCTTATGTTTATTAATAAAGGCCTTTGAAACATGTTTTATTAGACTAAACCACAGCCTGACATATGCCTACAGTATATAATAGATATGAGTCTATGTGATACATGAACTCTTCTGAAGTAGACATAAGCATCAAGGTATTGACCCTGATGAGGAATTCTTTAATTATTCAATTAAATTTAATTCAATTAAAATAATTTTTAATTGAAATAAGAAGGGAAGGAGATGTGAGGGTTGTTATAAGTTTCTTTGCTTTTGTGTCTTCCTCAGCTCTTGGTTTTGGTCCACACGTATTTGCTGAGGACCATTTCCTCTGTTCGTATTGATAACCAGTCACTTGTGGTCGTCCTTTATTAAACTATGGAGGATGTGGGAATATCTGCAAGGCCTATACAGATTTGCACCTTAGAGCCAAGTTCACATGTCCTCATGGGCCCTCATCTACTTTCCTTCTGCTTCACAAACTTCAGTGGTACTGAAAAGAGCTGAAGTCAGGTCACAAAATTGCAGTTGGGTCAGATGCAAATCCCTCAGGCCCCTGCAAGACCTGCAGTGACTATCAGTCAGTGCCACGGGTGTTTTGAGCCTCTTGGTTACCTCTGCAGGGAATCCTCAAGAGTGATTTGTGCTGCCACTACCAATTGTGGCTGGGAAACAGTTTGACCTGGTTATGCAGCCTTCTGCCTGTGCTGGCCCCTGTGGATAAAACAGGTATCTTTCTATCCAGAGTCAGTCTTTGCTGAGTTTTGCTGTACGCATAACATTACTTAAAGCTAAATGAATTCTGTCTCTGCATTAACCTAAACCTTGGGATATAAGCTCCAACCCTAAAAAGGATGAAGAATTTGATTTTCACACCCACCCTTCTGCCTATAATGTGCCATTAACTGGTAGTTCACTTTGTTGCAGGATCTTGTGGCCGCTAATAGTTCATAGGGTTTGAGAGGATAAATTAGTGGAGTGGTGCCAAACACAAATAAAGTCACTGCTGGCTCAGTAAATCCCTGAGAGGCTAAAAAAGAGAGGCTATGAAGCTCCCCTTCTTTACCCCTTTTTGGCCTGGGTGGTGTTGGGCTGTCAGGATCTGTACCTTCATATGCTGTGGCAAAGCCCTGTATTCTGGCATGCTGCCATGGTAAGAGGCACTACTGGGGAGGTTGTTTCTGGGTTAATGTTTAGTCTGAGCTTGAGCTTCTCATCCAGGGTGAAGGTGACAGCTAAGGGGCAAGGCATTTTATGTGGGTGGATAACAACAACACCTGTAGCAGGAGCTATACCACAGTGCTGAATTTCTCTTCCAGTCTGCAGGCTGGGCAACCTCCTGCCACCATCACAGACACAAAGCTTGGGGCTTGCTCTCTTCCCATTTAAGAGCTCACTTGTGGCCTGAGACAATGCTGAGACTTCTCCACTGTCTCCCAGTGATAAGAGCTCCTTTACAAAACATTAGCTCTGTTTGGTCTAGGGACATGCCAAGTGCAAGAAAACAAACCACTCTCCCGTGACTGAGCCACGGTGCTGGAGCTGATATAATATCATGCCATCCAAGATAATTTAACCCCTTTCCTAGAGTGAGAGGCTGTGGCCTGCACAGAGATGCTAAATCATGAGATTATCTGTGTGCTTTCTGTTCGACCTCAGGAGCTCTCCAGAGGGGAAAACAGCACACCAGGTTAGTCCTTGGAAAAGAAAGTATCCCTAACCATGACACATTTGGGGTGAATGGTCCCCTGTTCTGCTGCAGCCAGATGTTTGCTTTGGTGACATGGTCCACTAGCTTTGAGACGAAGTCCCTATTTCTCCCTGTTATTAAATGACAGCTTCCTGTGAAGTACAAAGTGTGCCTTTGATACTCCAGCTGTTGGATCAATATCTGCTCTGGTTCTGAGCTTAACTTTTATGACACAGAACCTCTGGCACATTCTGATGTCAAGCAGTTGGAAGCTTTGAGACTTGGAGAAATATCCAGGGTAAGTGGAATTAAATTTCAAGTCCCCTCGCAATACCAAAATAGGCCAGATCAAAGCTTTCTAACACAGTTTTGAGTATTGGAAAGCAGCATTCTTTATAGCAGTGTGCTGGTCACTTGGAGAATCCTTCTAACTGAATGCCCTGAGTGTTGGGTAAATGCTCAAAACGGTGAGTTTTTGTCATACACACTGATGTGACCTGATCATCACTCATTGGATATCCCTGCTCACTTGGTGTATTAGTTCATTTTACATAGTCACACCCTCTTTTTGGAAGTCCTTACATGGTTCTTTGGGATTTGTCTTCAATGTCCAGTGTCCTTTTTAGGTGGCTGTTCCTCAACCCCCATTTTGAGTAAGTGCAGTAGTGTTGCTTTGCGTAACTTTGGCTTTGTCAGCCTTGCAAAGCTAAGCTGGCATCCTGTTGTGTTTTGCATGACTTGTTTTGTCTACTTCAGGAAGACTACATTGTTCCCTTTATTTGATAAGAGTAAAATGTTGTTCTGTTCTACTGTCCTTATAATTTGGGAAAAAGTAGGACTCAGCCCAACATCACAACTCCATGCTGAAAATAGTGCCTATGTTTTTTTTCTTTTACAAAGTCATTTTGTTAGTTGAGAAGTACTGTCTATGGGCAGCATTTTGCAGGGAGGAAAAGTTCCAAAACAAAATTAAAACAAATTGATATTTTTTGCTGCATCTTCAATAACATTTTTGAACATCATAAAAGATCTTGCAAATTGATGGGAAATGCCAATGCCACAAACTCTGAAAAGGCTTCCAGTTTTAACACTACCATTGCAGTGGTGCTTTAAATTGGTCCCAAAGCAGGTGGATGTTGTGCCCTCCATGCCACCCATCCCCATGCATGTGGCACAGTTAGTGACAATGAACTGCATGGGGCTGGAAATAATTACAGTAGGAAAAATGGGAACTGTGGGAGCTCAGGACCTCTGACCATTGAACCAATACGATTTCACAGGAGCCCTTTATTGTTTGTAATACATTCTTATTTATACATTCTGAAACTACTATTCACATGATCACGCATCTTTTCACTGGTGCCACTGTCCTGCCCACGCGCTCTGTATGCACCCCTCGGGGCACAGGACTGGTTACAGTTCAGATGTTGAACTGCCCTCTGTTATCTGGCTCCTGTGGTCCTGTTTTCTTGTTTTTCAGCTTCTTCTTTCTTATTTTTAGAATAGCTTATGTCTCAGCAACCTTGAGAAATTCCAGAGGGTCTGATAATAAACTCTACATACGGTTTGGCTGGAGCACATCATGGCCCAAGCTGTTCAGATACATTGCTACAGGGAACCAATAAAGTTTTTAGTAAAGATGAAGTTAATTTGTCATAACTAATTAGCAATTTCCTTCACATGTCTCCATCCAGAACCACCAGAGACATGCCAGGCCCTTTGTCCTCTGCAGGCAGGGATAAAGCAGAGTTCAATGCTTTCTGCAGCATTGCCCCTTGAGTGCAGATGTACTGGGCTGTGTGCTGGTATAACTTAGCCTTGAACATACCTGAGGATGTCATTTCTGCAAACTGGTCCTGCCTTTCCTAGGGCTGCAAGGCATATCACCGTGCAGGAATCCTTTTTCCTTCTGTCTCCTTTCATCCACTTCTCCAAATGCTCCATGCCAGTCAGGACCCTGCTGCCAGGGAGCTGTGCCCAGCTGGGTGAAGTGCTTCATCATTATTGCACAGACACCATGAAGGTAGCCATGTAGCTCCTGCAATGCAGACCAGCCACAACAGGTGCCATTTTTTTTCTTCCAGTGGCTTGCTACAGGTTGAGATGCTGCACAGGGTTTCTGGCTAACAGTGGTGTTGTTCTGTTGCACTGCTGTCATGCTCCCCTTCATAAGCAACTCTGCTAGAGTGGTAGCTTCCCACTTCTCATTATTTTGCATGGGCCAGAAAGAGATGGGTAGAACACCATCCTGCCTCTTGGCCTGATTTCTGGCACCTAATGGTGTGGGGTGGCAGAGAGTTACAGAACACACTGCTCCAACTTCTGCTGCTGGATCTCAACAGAAGGTACTAATATGTTTGCTGCTGGAGGCCCTTTACACAGCAGAAGTGTTGTGTGGGGCTGCTCTTTCCCACAGGCCACTTCTGTGGACATGGGCTGTCAGCAGCGGTTGCTCAGCCAGTCTCTTGCTGCTGGATGACCAGTTGCGATATCTCAGGGGAGAAGACAGAGAGTAGCATTCACCCCAAGCACCAAGGACACCCCAGTCCCAGCCACCCAGTCTAAGACTGCAAAGAGGGGACTGGGGAGCAAAACCATTCACTTTGTCAGCACCTAAAACAGCTCTCAGGAATGGCACATGCACATGGGTAGCACAGCCAGATGCCTACAGTGCACAGGGCTGTAGGTAGAAGAAATCTTTCCCCTCCCAATAACCCTAAACAAAGACATCTTTGTCTCCCCTGTCAGTCGTGCATGCTATCTTCTATGGCTTAATCAGGGCTGGAGCACAACATGTGTCAAAGGAAGCACTGGAAATCATCTTTGTATCGATACCTGATCTGTCTTGTACTTCTCCATAGGGAACATGTGAGCACACACTGCAAGGATCCTGAGGGGTACCAGAAGTCATCTTAATTCCTGTAGGCAGAGCAGCTGCTGCACTAGCATTCACAATTCATGTCCACAGAAATTCCTTCCTATGCTCCATCCATGGACATTGCTTCTCTACAGTTGTCTGGTGGTGTACCTGCTGAAATGCCTCAGTTTCCTGGGATTTCCCGGGCTGGCATCTGGTAGCAAAGGATGAAGACCACTCTGGTTGGTGGTTGGATCAGAAATTCTTCTCAACACTCTTGAAGAATTCAGTGGATCTGGTCTTTTCACAGGCATAATTTTTCTTCTCCAAAAGGACTTGAGACGCCCTGACAGGCTTGCTAATGATGTCACATGTGCAGTCTCCTCTTTTACCCGAGTTGATGTCTGTAGTGAGGAAGTGGTCACTGGGCTGGTGGTTGTCATCTCCCCTTGATGGAATTACTGTTCAGCTAAGGACACACTTCCTGCCTCTCTTGGCACTGTCAGCACTTCTAACTGTTCCAGTGATTTCAATCCCTGCTATGTTGCCTGTTATTACTTTGGTTGAAAGTGTTTGAGACTTTTTTTTGGAAGGCTTCTACCCTTTCTGTCTTTGCCTACATCTGCTAAGGTTGATACACAGCTTCTTGATGAATGGTACTTTGCTTTGAGG